TTTTTTTTTTTTTTGACATTTTGTTGCTTCAATTGCGATTCATAACAGATCTGCACTGTTCCTGCATATTTCAGTGCGCGAAAGAACTGTCACGAAATGTGAAGAAAGAATAAAGACTGTTGGCCTAGGAATAATTGGAGTATTTAGGCCCACTCTCGCCATTGAAATCACATCGCAGCATAAATTGATTCAGTGGGTGGTTCCACAGAATTTGTGACGCTGAAACTATATTATTAATTACATGGAGATTTTTATTTTTTTGACTTGCATAAACCACGTCTCAATTGACTCGATGTGGATAATTTGCAAACGAGCACGCATACCCTAATTTAGACAATCACTATTAGTTAGACATCATTAAGAAAAAGTAAGTATTAACGATAAAAATTTAATTTCATCCCTAAATACTTTTTTCGACTCTCGTACTTGACGGTTGACTTATGATTTTTTTGGTCACTAAAAAAATAATTTCTTGTAGGATTTTCTAAATTTGCAGTCAATTTTTTTCAATATTAGATCACATACTATATGTAATTTATATCAAAACCTATTCTCTACAAGTAAACACCCATTAATACACTGTGCTTAATTTATTATTGAGAATATCAAGAAAAACTATATTAAGAGATGATCTAGATCTTGAAATTAATTTATGTATATGAGAAAATAATTATTCCATGTATGACTTGTTTATATGAATGCCATTATTGTATTGGTAATGTAAGTAATCATACTTTTGTAGAAGTCACAATATAATGTTCTTTATTTAAAAAATAAAAAAAGATGTCATAGTCAAAAGAGTTTTGATTTTGTCATGAAATGAAATTATTAATTTTTGGATATTTAAAATTCCCATAATTTAGTTTGATAAAAAAACAAAAACTATTTGGACCATNAGAGAGAGAGAGAGAGAGAGAGAGAGAGAGGTGGAGCACTGACTCTGATTGTTAATTATTTATGGAGAGAAAATTCAATGGCATTGTAAAGAAAGAGACAAACTGCAAATGGCTTCTCGGAATCTCTTATTATGAAACGGCCTTTTCTTTTCCGTTGACTTTGTATAATTGTCAAAAAGAGACAATACGGGTGTGCAATATGCCAGTACGAGGCAAATACATTTGGCTTCCTTTTAACATTTGAGGTTTTTTTTTCAATATGGTCTATTCTCAATAAATGAATGTCACTTATTTTATTATTATTATATATATATATATATATATATATATATTTATATATATATATATTTTTAACGGTTAAAAATATTCGAATTAATTTACATTCATTTTAACTAATTCTCTTCTTAATTCAGTTAAAAATAAATCATTTACACCACGTTGAAATAAAAATATTCATAAAAGATAAATTTTTTATGATTTAATTCTAAAAAATTATCAAAATTAAAATATATTTTTATCAAAAAAGGCTAACGTATGAGTCTCGTAAGTTAATTTTGTGACAACTTCTCTTTGAATGAGCAGACTACATGACACTGCCATGATAGATGGTCACGATGGACGGTGCGTTAAGACCGCTCTAACCTTTTTTTTTTTTTTTTGACATTTTGTTGCTTCAATTGCGATTCATAACAGATCTGCACTGTTCCTGCATATTTCAGTGCGCGAAAGAACTGTCACGAAATGTGAAGAAAGAATAAAGACTGTTGGCCTAGGAATAATTGGAGTATTTAGGCCCACTCTCGCCATTGAAATCACATCGCAGCATAAATTGATTCAGTGGGTGGTTCCACAGAATTTGTGACGCTGAAACTATATTATTAATTACATGGAGATTTTTATTTTTTTGACTTGCATAAACCACGTCTCAATTGACTCGATGTGGATAATTTGCAAACGAGCACGCATACCCTAATTTAGACAATCACTATTAGTTAGACATCATTAAGAAAAAGTAAGTATTAATGATAAAAATTTAATTTCATCCCTAAATACTTTTTTCGACTCTCGTACTTGACGGTTGACTTACGATTTTTTTGGTCACTAAAAAAATAATTTCTTGTAGGATTTTCTAAATTTGCAGTCAATTTTTTTCAATATTAGATCACATACTATATGTAATTTATATCAAAACCTATTCTCTACAAGTAAACACCCATTAATACACTGTGCTTAATTTATTATTGAGAATATCAAGAAAAACTATATTAAGAGATGATCTAGATCTTGAAATTAATTTATGTATATGAGAAAATAATTATTCCATGTATGACTTGTTTATATGAATGCCATTATTGTATTGGTAATGTAAGTANCAAAAAAAAAAAAAAAACACTAAACTGAAAATAAAAATATTTAAAAATGAAAAAGAAAGAAGGCACCGGACTAGGACTAGACCCGGAGATGCTTCCTACCTCTTGCATCCCATTTGGACGACTGAAAAGGAAGGTTTAAAGAAGTCCAAGTGTCCCCACTTTTTCTGCCACTCAGCCACCGTTTACGGCGGTGACGTTGGCTGCAGTAGAGCTGGAAGAGTCCACGAACTACGAAAAGAGAAAATCAGTAGAAAAGTCGAAACCATTATTTCCTTTGAGTTCTTGAAAATCTTTGAATATCTCTTCGGTCATGTGGGTGTTAGGAATGAGAAAATTATCATCATCATCTTCTTCTTCATCCACCATCTCTGCATCATGGTCTTCTTCCATGTCTATGGCCTCTTTTTCTGTACCATCACGTAGTAATGCAATCTCGCCTTCCATTAAAGGGGTCGTCGGAGAAAAGCTCGAGGAAGAAGAGCATGAAGCACGTTTGGGCATATTGGGGTTTGGTGGTGCTGTTGAATTATCAGTGGCACTGTTGGATTTGTTGACGGCGGAAAACTTGTTTCTGGTACTTCCGGCGAGAGAGCTCCTGTGAGTCGGACGTGGGTGGGTGTGTTCGCCTGTATAAGAGACCACGAAAATGTTTGGATCCGTGGGGCTTCGCTCCACTTGTTTCCTTGCCGAACAGCCTTTCGAGGTGCTACACCTGTAGTAGTTTCTGTTGAATCCAAACAAGAATCATATAAATTTCTATGCATCATTTTGACCCCCAAAAAAAAAAGGGAACATTTAAAATCATATGTAGAATTTGTCTAAAGGGATAGAAACTAAAACCTTGGATATGGAGAGCCTTTGATGGGTTTTTGACCGTATTTCCTCCATGCCCAAGAATCAGCTGAGAGTTCCTCTTGTGTTTTCCGGCACACCACCTTGCTCTGCTCGTTCTTCCTGTAACCAAAAAAAATAAAACAAAACTAACAAACAAACAAAATTGACAACCTATGATGTACTCCGATGCAAAATTCATAATTTTAATAGTCATGACCATGGCACTGAGTCAACAGAGCAGACTTTGTTGAGCTGAGTTGTACAATGACACTAACTACCTTCTGCGTGATCGAGTTGGCTGAGAATTGGTGGTCGAGAGAGTAAAGGAGGAACCAGACGGAGGATTTTTGAGCTGTAGATGTAGTTGTGCTGGTAATTGACTCTGTTGTGGTATTTCAAATCCTGTGAGAACTGGAAAAGAGGTGGTGGAGATGATCCCAGGAGTGGTGATAGGCTGTGTGTTGTTGACATAAAATTCCTTGTAGATTTCTTCTAATCCCTGAGAAGGGTTGTCTCCAACACTTGGAAAATAAAACGGGTTATCATCACCTTGGTAGTTGAAAGAATCCAAAGCAGGAAAAGGGTATTCTTTGTTCATGTCGGTGTTAGTGGGTATTTGGGAATTTTGGGTGGTGGTGATGGTGGTGGTTGTGGGGACGGCGGCGGTGCAGTTTCGCACCACCGCATACAGATCCCAATCATCAGCCATTGAGCAATATATAAGTGGCTGGAACTATATATATCTTTGAAACTCGCAACTCCGCAAGACTCTTCAGTAGTCTCCTCCTTTCTCTCTTTGTTTCTGCGTTCGCTTCAACATAAGTCTCTGCTGACTGCTCTGCTGTTCGTCCAGAATAAGCATATTGGCTGATGAGAGAGAGAGAGAGAGAGCAGGGACCCAAAGAACAACGCTGACTTTTAGAGCAAGAGATAAAAAGGGCGATACAGAGAGAGAATGAAAAGAGAGAGAGAGAGAGAGAGAGAGAGAGAGAGAGAGNGTCATCTTATAATTATTTTTTTTTCAATGCTCATAATATTTAGATCAGCTTACGCACATTTTGATTAATCTCCTCTCAAATCTAATCGAAGACATACTATCCAAGCCGAATCCAAGAATTGTTAAAATTCAAACTTATAACGTCTAAATTTATAACTCATTCATGTTACCATTTAAACTGTAATTTGAGATTCATCTTACAACTTTTATCTATATTATAAAGTCACTTACAATTCAAATCTCAAAAAATAAACAAAATAATTTTTATTATTCACGGTCAAGATAACTTTAAATTTTACTTTAAAGTTAATCTAACGATTAATATTAAAACTCTAAATTTAATAAGAAAAATAAAGTCTTAAGGTTTGTTTGGAGTAATTTTTAAAACTGTTTTTAGGAATTATTTTTCATAAATACTTTTAAAAAAATATTATTTTAAACCGCTCCACCACTACCTCTACCACCACCACCACCGTCCCAGCCACCGCCACTGCCACCACCCCCCACCACAGCCACCCCTACCACCGCCACCGCTCCATCACTACCTCTACCACTGCTGTCGCAACCACCACCACCACCACCACTGCCACTACCATTGTCACTACCACCACAGCCACCATCACCGCCATCGCCACCGCCACCGCCACTGCCACCATCACCATTGTCATCACCGTCATCGTCATTGCAGTCGTCGCCATCACCACCACCACCGTTGCCTCCACCACCACTATCATCTCCGCCGCCACCACAACTATCACTGTTTCTTACCACCACTACTATCGCCACTATCTCTCACCCCTACTATAAATCGATGTTTAAATTTATTTATCTCTTATCTATGTTTGCGATTTAATTTTGGATATGAATACAAATATACTTATTGTTTATTATTTTTTATTATTCTGTGTCTGCAATAACTAATATTTTAATATAATATCTTTAGGGCCAAGTTATAAAACTTTTTGAAAATTATGAGATCTATCTTAAATATATTTAGAATAGATTACAAAAAATTTCAGAAGTTATAAATGATCTTTAAAATTTATTCAAAACTTCTTAAAATTTATATATAAGGTTATGATACTATTTTTTTTTTTGATACAGTGCACTCTTATGATTTATTATAGAGTGAAATTGAATAAAAATATAATAGAAATGACGTACATTCGAATTCGTTCATAGTTCTCGTTTTCCATTGTCCAATTTCACCCATATATTCTTTGGTCTTGAAGATACAAAGAAAAAAAGAAAATGGTGGTTGAGATGATATCTACATTGAGGTGCAAACACATGCATGAACTTCTTTATTGACGACGATGAGGATTGAAAAAGGTTTTAACAAAGACGGTCGCATTAAAGTGATCTCAATCACTATGTAAATAAAGAAATAAAAGCACAGGACACCCCACTACGGCCTTCTGGTGCAAAGTATCCGTCCTACTCATCTTGTGGGATGGTGTAAAACATTTTAGTTCGAGGATTGACATATCTGATTGATTGACACCTCTCTCTCTCTCTCTCTCTCTCTCTCACATATTGATCATAAGGATTGGAAGGTGTCCATTGTTATTGTTGATGAATGAGAAGACTCTTATTGCCAATCCACAAAAGGAGAGAGAGAGAGAGAGAGGGGGGAGGGGGGGGGGGAGAAAGGTGAATGGATTTGTATAGTGGATCAAGATCCCTTTCAATATGCTTACTCTTTAATTTTCTTTTTCTTTTTTACGGATCATCTAAAATGAATGAGAGATCCACTTTAATGATTTGTAATTGGCTAAAAAAGAATTGTTTAAAAGAGATCTTATTCCATAAATAATGAATTAGTTTAAAACTATCAAATATGTGAAGTAGCACCAAACGTTAGATTAAACAGGAAAGGGCTAGTAGAACAACCCTCCAAAAAATTATGAAGATGCTTACTAAGGTGGTATTTGATAAAATTGAAAACTGAACACTGAAAATTGAATGTTAAATTTTAAGTGTTGAATGCTGAATTTTTTAATTCACATTCTGTTTGGTATCAACAGAAATTTAAATATTGAATAAAAGCAAATTGTTTGATAAATATAAAGAGCTGAAATCTAAAAATTATTATTATTCTAATTTTATCATTTCTTTTAACCATGTCTCTGCAACTATCTTATTCTTACCACCACATTCACAATGGTGGTGGTGACAACAATACAATGGTGGTGGTGATGGCGTAGACACAATGATGGTGATGACGACAGTGGTGATGGTGGCAACGACACAATGGTGATAGNGGGGGGGGGGGGGGGGGGTGGCCCAAGTGGGTTTTGGCAACTTCTGAAATAAAGGGGTGAGGAAAGATCATGGGTTTGGCAGAAGGATATATATGCAAGTGGAAAGAGAGACGTTTGTCATATCTGTAAGTGAAGATTGCAATCCACAAGCAACCCACCCCCCATTTCCATCTTTTTGCTCCCTTAGTTCAATCAGCCTATCTTCACTTTTCCATTCCATACCAGTTGTGTGTGTGAGAGAGAGAGAGAGGAAAAAAAAAGTTCACCAATCACCACCTTGTAGTGTGGGCAGAAGTGCCACACACTAGGGAAAATAGGGGGCTCCCCACAGCACCAAGGAAACGCACCACGTGTATCATGACTCTGTTTTCTCTCTCTTCTTTAGCTGTAGTAAACACTGGCTTGCACTTTTGGCCTTCCTTGGTGCTTTTTTGTATTATTTTATGGTTTTCTAGTTAGACTCCAGTCAAGTCGCAACTCATCTCTATTGCTTCACATTTTCATTTTTCCACTGGGAGATCAAAGTCAAGCAAGAGAAAGTTCAGTGCAATGGTCATACAAAACAATCATTATTTTCACACTGCCACTCTAACTTTCACCATGTGCTTCATGGATGCACTTTTGAGAGTTGAAAATCTTAAGGGTGGTGCTTTCTTTCTTTTTTTTTTAATTCAACAGTTAACGATGTATAAGCTAATTTATGCAAAACTCAACTAATCTTCTCTTAATCCGGTCAAGATTTACACTCAAAATATTTGAATTTATAACTCATTTTTGTTGTAACTTAAACTATCCCTTTGAAGTTAAAGGATGGTGCTTTCACCGTAACGCCACTATAATTTTCTAAAACATTTATACGGAAAACGTAAATTGGCCTCTCAAAACCTGCCCAATGACAAACAATGTCCCCCGGTCACCAGAAAACTACCAAAGCCCAATTTTTAAATGGACTTATAACATCTCCAATAAATTTTTTGGGTACTTTACTTGATCGTAAATCACCCACCATGAATGCAGATAATTTCCCCAATGATTTGGTACTGTTTTTGCCAGTGTCACCTACAACGACTCCCCCAATGATTTGTCCTGTTTGTTCGCCGGTCCACCATTTAGACGGAGCAGGCACTGAGGTACAAGAACACTTGGTTGATATATGAAGGTGAATCTCATACCAAACACAATCAGTAAAATATTTGACAAGTATTTCCAACAGTGCCTAGATCAATTTGTATTGTTTTCTTTTGGTTACATTAATCTCTCGTCCAACAATACAAATCATCCTTCCGGAGAAAAACAGTACAAACCACATGGCAACAGCGGCTCAAGCATATTGATCATCACCATCTGCTAGAATAATTACTACACACTCTGATACACGTATGCATCATGCCTCATGCCTCATGCCTCATTCCCTTTCAACTAGCATACCATCCAGGGAATACCACCGATAGAACTATGAAATGTCAAGTCAATTTACATTTTCTCATTATTGGTTGATTAATAGATAAAAATCAGTGAAGAAAACATAAAAGAGAAAAACTGTGAGTGAACCTCTTAGCTGTCTCCTCCACGAAACCAGCCAGTCGAACCCGTTCTTGCCACACTAGAATAGTAGTCCCCCACATTTGCCACAAAGAGTGGATCCCTATCTTCAAGTCTGAAGTCATTACCACTGGTGCCAGCCACATTTCCCTGATCTGCCCGTTCCAATTCTCTTGTTAGATCATCCATTGTCTTTTTCAAACTGGCTTTGCTCATCTGCCCTGCCTCCCCAGTTGAAATACCAACCATAGTAATCTTAGGCAGAAAAGGATTTGGCTGTAATTCTTCTCTTCTGTATTCCCTTGTAGTATCTACCATTCTGCAATGGAGGAGACAAATCAGAATGAAACAATTGTAAGTTTGAAGAAAGTATATCATTATAGGAGCTACATTAACACAACCATGTGTAGGTTGGCACCTTTTATCCGATTGGCTCTGGTGCTTTTGCTGATGTTTTGACCATGGAACAGTTAACCAATCCCCAAATGGAAATTGAAAATCCAGCTTCCGTCCTTGATCAGCTTGAACATTGTCCTTTGATTCAATTTTTGAAGGGCCAAGGTGCTGCAGTAGATTATTATCTTCTGATTCTGAGTTGGAAACATAGCTGGATGACTCGCACGCTCTCAAGAAAGAAGCCGCACTCCTGCACATAAATGCCAAAGTTATATACGTGATGTTGCAAAAAAAATAAAGCAAATGCACGATTGCCTCCTTCTCTATGTGATCTGCACAAGAAGTTCCAGTGCACTCAAATCTCATTATGCCAAACAAATTGTCGTTGAAGTAGCCAAGTCTTCCCACAGTACTAAATCCACAAGTTCCATCAGTGCAAAATGCTGAGCATTTCTCAAAGGTTACCTTTTCTCGAATGAGTCAACCATATAAGGAAAGCTGGGTTGAATTCCAGTGGCTTTTCGCAACCATCTGTTCCCAAGGATTACTCTGTCAACAGCATAGAGAAGCTGAATTTCAGCAGCCTTAGATATGACACTCAATGGTATTCCAGGATGGCCCATTTCATCCATCACTTCCTGAACCTGTTATGCGTAGCCAAGAACTCAAGAAATAAATGACAGACGGCATTAAGGGACAATAAGCACACAAGGTATATTCAATTTAGTTTGTTGGGACCTATGAGGCACGAATACTTCGTTAAACTCAACATATTCTTGTCGGATACGATTCTATATATATCCAATAATAAAATATGTGGATACTTCTACACATGGAGTAAAATATACAATTTTTAATTTTAATCTATAACCTCTCCTTTCGAGTTCACATACAATACAATTAATCAACAAAATTCCATTTGATTTTGAAGACACAAGTGTTTCTCAAGTATCTATAATATAAAACAACAAGGCAGACTTCAATAAATCCATCCGATGGTCTTAAATAGACTCATCTAAAGGCCACTAATATTCCTCTTAAAATCATTCACATTGCACCGTACCTTTAGGCACGGGTTACCTCTATTTATCTACTATTATATGTCAAAATAGTATAAAAAAAATGAGTTAGTTACACTATAATCTTAGAAATAAATATTTGTAAACAAACTAACTAGTTAAATGTTGATTCTGATTCCTTTAATTAGTCACGTTCACTTTATGGATATATTATACTGAGACGATATTACACCTTTTTCAAGGTAAAAATTACTAATTTTGTTTACTATTGTTAAAAAATTATTAAAATTTTTAGCTGTTAAATATTAGTATAATATAATATATTATAGACATACCCTAGCGATATCCGTATGCTATTTTTTCTCATATAAGCAAGCATGCATTTCTCACCTACTCTCAAATTTATTGTTAAAGCAACCTCTTTTGGATTCATTTATTTTTACTCTTGCTAATGCTAAATTTGTTGCGGTCACTGGCTTCCAAACTTTTTGCTCGCTAGGCAAAAGAGCAGCAGTAAAACAATTGATTTTTTTACCTCTGGAGGCTCCCAAATGCTGTCTCCAAGCTCTTCAACTACTTCTGCTGCCAGGTTGTCATCAATAACATCCCGTCGGCGCTGCAAGTGCCGTGTTTGAATCAATGATTGGAAATGCTGATCAACTGATTCCTCAAGAATGTTGTCTAACATGTTTTTATTAAAGAAGTATGGTGTATACCTAATGGAAACAAGATTACAGTGCATACATCAGATACTGTGAGATAAACACTAACTGAAAAGAAGACAGATGTCTGAGATATAAAAATGCATTCGTAAGCATTTGCTAATGAGGAATTATAGCACTTGATTAGGGAAGAAAGATCATATCTTCTTCTAATGTTTATTACTTCTACTACAGAGTAAAGAATGTAAGCATGGTTCAAGGTCGCGGTATCGGCCCTTGACTCGGGGGCTACTGAGAAACATCAGTCGCGGCGCGGTATCGGCCGATACACCCAAAACACTATATAGAAGGCTAAAAAAAATTAGAAAAGATTGGAATAAATGTAAACATCATCATCAATGCATCATATCCCTAAAAGACATTATTTAACACATTAATCATTGCAAAAAAAGAATAATAAGTATGCTATCGAAAAATATTTATTATCATTTATATTCAAGGTTAATATAATTTAATTTGTAATTTTTAAAAATTATAAAAAAAATATAAGTGTATATATATGGTTAACTTAATAGTTTTAAAAATGAAAATCTATTTATAAAAAAATTCTACATTTAATTATTTATTATGTATCTAATTAGATTGATTATGTATATGTATTTTATGTATGATGATTATATGTATTTTCTCCATTATGTATATTTAATTATTAAATCATCAATTAATATACAAAAACAAACTTAAGAAGTAAAGTTTTAATTAGATTATATGATAATACTAAAAATTATATAATTAAAAAAATTGGGCCAAAATCGAAAAAACAAAAAGAAAGGGGGGGAATAATTTTTTGGGTATCATAAGGCTAAAACCTCACGTATTTTGACCCAAAGCCTCTCTCTTCAACTCTCAACTTCGACGAACAAAAAACATGAGAGAGAGAGAAAGAGAGAAAGAGCACAGAGACGATGGGCCTCTGCTACTCGAGACTCATCGTGAAGGCTGGGTCTTCTGCTACTTGAGTAGTCCGATCGTCAAAGTAGCCAAGGGTCTGCGATGTTGATCGATGAACTACGAAGAAGAAGAAAAGTCCAATCTGCGATATTAATCAATGATATTGGGTCCTCTACTACTGCGAAGAAGAAGAAAAATAAAAACAAATAATAGGAAAGAGTCTCTTATTAGGGAGATTTACCACAATTTTTCAGGTTTGTGTTCAATTTTGTTATAACTTTCTTATTTTGTTTATATTATGGTAAAACTGGTCTAATTTAGGGTTCAATTTCTCATTTTTTTTGCCTTTTTTTTGGCATTTTCTTTGTTGGTTGGACGATTTTGTGCGTATTAGTTCGATTCGAAAGTAAATCGACCGAGTTAGACAGAGTTTGTTCGAGTTTGTCCAAGTTGGACCGAGTTTGTCCGAGTCAAAATCGATTTATGGTCGACTCGTGATAGTCTTGTATCATGTATCGTTATCGGATCAATGCCTACCAAGACAGATACAACTCGGCCGATACTTTGAACCTTGAATGTAAGGGCTACAAAAATAAAAATGAACCAAACATTCAACATTCCTCTTTCCAACAAGAGAAAATTAGAAAACTTAAAGTAAACATAACCACGCAAACCTCAAAGCAGGCTACCACAATGACTACATTTAAGACTATTTGAAGGTAGATAGGGAACCTATCCGAAGGAAAATTTTTGATCGATGCCACTTGATGTAGGGCAGCGTGCATATAAAACCGAGATTAAACAACAGAAACTATAACCTATTAATTATTGCAATAATGTCAAATTAGACTTTAATAGTCTTGTTGATTCCGCAAAATACCAAGCAATTGGGAAGAAAATTGAATTCGAGGACAAATTCTTTCCAACTTTGGGAGGATGATGCAATATGGGTGGCGGTAATTTTAGTATTTTACTTGAATGTGATCAATGCCGTTCAATTAGGGAATTTTAGAATATTTTATTTTATATCTTATTTTAATTAGAAAATTATTTTATTTTATTTTCTTGATTCATTTTGGATTTTATCTTATTCGATTTCCTAATTTATTTAGGATACTAGTTTCCTAGTTACTTTAATGTTTCTACTTGTAAACCTTAGGACAAAACAGTTTTTGGTGAATTAATAATATTGAGAGAGTGTTCTCTTTTTTTGCCAACTATTCTGGTATTCTTAAAAATCAACAGATCAATTGAAACCTTTAAAACTGGTATTCTTGTGAATCAACAGCTCTAGAGTAAGATTCTAATCTGGTATTTGTGCGCAAATCAACAATTTAGTCTATTTATCCCCTTTCGTTCATTATACTCTTTTTTCCATCCGCTTCCCAGCATCAGTTGATATAAGAGCGTAGTTACGTTTCTATTAATATTTTTCAATTCTTGACATGAAGTTTGAAAAGTTATTTTTTAATAGCGAATCATCATATATTCAATAAGAAGTTGATTGGAATTTATCCCCGATATTCGATGAATACTCGACTGATGATTCTCTAATTCTCAGAAAAGTCGATTATGCTACGCCAATATATGAAAAATATCTTGAGGTTCATTATTTGGGCACTTTTGAAGATTTGGAAGGATTAAAGAGCCTAGAGGAAAGCATTAGAGTTGTCCTTATAGATCCGCCAAAGAATCGTCTCCCTTTTGTTTATAACCGAAAGATGGATACCTTTCCAAATGAAAAGTTTCATGGGTGTTTTGATGCCAAATATTTTGATGAGAAGGAAGCTAGTGATATATTGTGCTTCAATCACATCGAGATGAACAAGACAACTATGATCATTACCGACGAATTTTGGATTTGTCAAAAAGTTAAATTCAAACAAAGATCAAAGTATCAAAATAAGATTCAATTGACCGGTCGGAAGCTTAAGTTCAAGCAAAGACTCAAATATTGAAATGAATTCGAGAGCGAATTCCTTCCAACTCGGGGAGTATGATGCAATATGGGTGGCAGTAATTTTGATAATTTATTTGAATGTGATCAATGCCGTTCAATTAGAAAATTTTAGAAGATTTTATTTTATTTCTTATTTTAATTTGAAAATTATTTTATTTTATTTCTTTGATTCATTTAGGATTTTATCTCTTATTTGGTTTCCTAATTTATTTAGGATTCTAGTTTTCTAGTTGCTTTAGGGTTTCTAGTACTATTTAAAGTCTTGTAAGCCTTAGGACCAAACAGTTTTTGGCGAATTAATAAGATTGAGAGAGTATTCTCTTTTTTTCTCAATTATTCTGATATTCTTAAGAATCAACAAATCAATTGAAGCCTTTAGAACTGACATTCTTGTGAATCAACAGTTCTAGAGTAGGATTCTAATCCAGTATTTGTCAGCAAATCAACGGTTTAGTCTCTTTATCCCCTTTAGTTCATTACACTCTTATTTCCATCTGATTACCTGCATTAGCACTAAACCAGGACAAACATAACAAATAGACATACCACTTGACACGTCTATGTTGCTATGAGACCTAAGTTTTGAGTAGAGAAAAGAGGAATGCCATCAACCCTGTTCATTCGACCAGGCTGTCATGTCAAATAACATTTCGTAAAGCATTAGCTAATGAAGAATTATAATCCTTGATTTAGAAAGAATAATCATATCATGTTCTAATGGTTTTTACTTTTATTACAAATAAAAGGAGTTAAAGGCTCAAAAATCAAAGAGATCTATAAATTCAACATTTCTCTATCCTACAGGAGAGAAAATGACCTGGAAAACTGAAAGTAAAAATGACTAGTCAAAACGCACAAGCAAGCTTAAAATCAGTCGCTAGACCATAATGATAACATTTAAGACCGGTTGAAGGTAAATAGGGGAACCTATCCAAAGGAAACTTTCTTATTGATGCCACTTAACCAGGACAAATAAAACAGATAGACATACCACTTGACACCATCTGTTGTTGCTATCGCGATATCTAAGTTTTGAGCAGAGAAAACAGGAACGCCGTCAACCCTTTTCATTAGGTCATGCTGTGGCATTGTCCTAAGAAGTTTGTTGGCTTCCTTGACCTTCATAAGCAGAAAATAATTGAAAGATCATAATCTCGAAAAGGGATGACCTCAGCTCACCAACCCCCAAGAAACCTTTTTGGGGATTTTTTTTAGTTATTTTTTTCCTGGAGGGTTTTGGGGGTGGGGGAGGTTCGGAGGACGAGTTGAATAATGTATCTAACCTGTTTCTCATTTGGAACGAATTGGAATAACTGAGGCTTTTCCTGCATTGTACATAGCAAAGAATGTTCAAATCATTAACCACTTGTATAGCAAAATTCAACACCAAATAAGAAACGTTGAAGAAAAACAATAATTGCAAGAACTACAGAATTTCCACATAAGGAATGGACAAGCACATGTGCTCTGTCCCACTCCCAACTGCCTCAATCAAAACAATAAAAGTCTTCTGGGAGAAAAGTTAAGCAACAAAAAAAAAAAAAAAAAAAAAAAAAGCCAGGCCGCAACTACTTGCATATGAAAACAAACATTCTTGGCCATTCTCTGGTGTCTAGGGACATAAAGGATATTGTGTCTTCCTGCCTACCTAAATTTGTATCCATCACACCAATGACCTTTGGTCCAATGGCGCTCCTTGTCTTGTAAAAGTTTTGCATTATTGAGGTCAAGGGTTCAAGTCCCCCTCCCCCTTTCCTTTTCCCTTCCCCCTCCCCTCCCCCCAAAAAAAAAAAAAATTGTATCCATCACACCTCTCCCCTCGTCCTAATAAGTACCATTAAAAAGACTAAAGGAATGGAGGAATGATTGCTTCTTGCCACTCATCTTATCCCAAATTCTCAATATTTTCATTTCCAGTACACTGATTACGTGACCAATTATTTTTCTATCTAATTAAATACTGGGATGGTTTATTCTTCAAGGAAAATGTCGCATTACATGTTATTTGTACATGAAATGGTATAGAAATCCAGAACACTGAAAACAAATAAATCTAAGTCTCAAAAAATTGAACATCCAAATCCGGGAAAAATTGAAATAAATGAAATTATTGGGTTTCACATGTTAAACGGTGGTGGCTCGTTTAGTCTTGATTCTTGAACATATCACAAACTTAAAACTCCTCAACCACTTATTCCCATCCTTCAATAAAAAAACAATACTTCTAATAGATAAACATCAGTGTCCACTCAAATTGAAAGAGTCAGTACCTTGAAATGCTCATATGCTAAATCAAGACGACAAGCACCAACTACACCACTTGGAATATTCAGCCGCTTAACATAAGAAACTGCAAAAATAGTCAAAGATTCAGCCGTTGTTAACTACAAATAAATCTAACTTACAAAAAAAAAAAAAACACTACCTATAAATCTGACAAGTTGAAAAAAAAATAGTTCCATTCAAAAGGAAGCAGAAAGTGCAACACTCAGTTTGGAGAATTAAAGAATTGAACACACCAGATTCCTAACCTTCACAGTAATAACATACCCAACCCAATCAATTCACTATATCTATGATCCGCCAAGGACCACTCAAATCCATCAAGTCCAATAAACATAAACCTATAGGAATAGAGTTGCAAAAAGGGTAAATACTTGAATGGCCTTTAGCAACTTTTAAACATGCATACTTACCCAAAAAACAAAAAAAAAAACTTTTAAACATGCATGGATCACATTCATGCCTATAGTGGAGTTTGGGAAGGCAAATGATAGGTAACCTTGCCCTCATAATGGTCACAGAACCAGTGTTGCGGGTTCTTTTACCGTTATGAACCCGCAATACTTGGGTGGATGAATAAAACTGGTTCCTTGGGAAGCAAGAATAAGAGGGAAAGTAAAAGAAAAACAGATGCATCATGAAATATTACCTGCATCACCCAGATCCATGAAAAAGCGGAAAACAGGGCCATTCCTCTCACTCTTAATAACTGCTGAAAACATCTTCTTAAGCCAGTCTGGTGTTCTATGGGTATCAGAGAATCATCCAAAAGCACTTCAGGGATATATTTTAAAAAGCACAAATTGAAAGCAGACACAAATTAAAAACAAGAGGCATATTTTTTAAGGCGACATGTACACATAATAACACATCCGTATAACACCACACAGAAACAAAGATCACGACACAGATCCCATATCAAAATTAAAGCAAAGTTAAAAGCGCATACAGGGTCGAATGGGCATCATGAGGACCAGGAACCCTGTACTTTTGATAGGCACTGTGGGCTTAACTAACTGGGAACTATTGCTGACCTTTTAACTATTCGTATAACAAGCAAATTCAAATTGAGGTGTTGTGCTAGACTGATGAATTAGAATTTAGAACCCATATCACAACCATAAAGCAACTTATTTTTTGCAACAAAAAAAAATAAAAAATAGAGTAACATTTTGATTCCCATAAAAGCATTACTACTACATCATTAAGGACTAACTGCCTCTTACCCATGCTTAAATACTCCAAGAGGTCGTTTTCTTCCCTCTTTCTCTTTTTCACATCAGTTCATATTGAAACTAAAATACATATAAAGACGGGGAACTAGTAGACAAGCAAAAGGAAGACATTTCATCTGATAACCAAAAAGAAACAACAATCAATCAAAAATTTGATCTAGCAAACATATCGTCGCTAGAAAACATATTCCTGAGAAAAGACTCTTCTTTTGTTTAAAAAATTCAATTCCTACTTCACTATTGTCGAATTTCACCAATCAAAAAGAGCACTTAACTTCATAGACCCCCATGGTTTTTCATATTTTCTAAAAAAGTTAATTTCACAACATAATTCCCCAAGTATTAAACTGAAAGATCAGAACTTTTGTGCAATTTAGGGTATAAATGTCTCCAAAAGAACACAAAGAGTACCCCCGCCTCCCCCCCCTACCCCCGCGGCGGGGCGCCCCCCCAAAAAAATATTAGGCCAAAGCGTGCACAAAATCTAGGCGGACCAATTTCTTGAATACCAAAACTTTCAACACCATAATTTAGAATCTTGAGCTCACTAATATCCTTCTCAATCACAGAAATATATGGGTATATAACTGTATATGTAGAAAGAGAGAGAGAGAGAGAGAGAGAGGAAGAGGTTACCTTTTGGAGATGAAGGGAATGTCGAAGTGAGTGGAGACAGCCATGAGACCAGTCCCAGAAAGGTCACACATACTGAAAACCTGGCCCACAAAGGCCGGCCCACTGGATTTCCCTGGCGAATTCAGACCAGAAATCCTCACTGTAGAAGGAAACGCCGAACCGGACTCTGACGGCATGCCTTTCATTGCTGACGACGACGATGAAAAAGAAGATGGCTTTGAAGAAAACGACAGAGACTGAATCGACTCAATTGCGGCTGCTGAAGAGTCAGCGAAGAGTAGTGGAGCGCAAATCTTTGAGGGTGAATTGACCGGAGGTGTTGCTGACGGCGTCGTTTTGGGGGTGAGGAGAGAGGAAAGATTGGAAGCAGTGGATTGAATGATGCGCGAGATGTGGTTGACATGGTGGTGGTCGTAGTGGTGGGGTTCCGACGAGGAAGCCATGTAGAGAGGCAGATAGATACTACCTTGTGATATTCATCTTTGGATTTTCCGGTTCTCTCTTGCAACTGGTGAATTTGTATGGATACAGAAAACAAAAAGGGTAAAATGCATTTTTAGTCCCAAAATTATATTTTTTGTCAATTTAATCCCTAATATTTCAATTATATAAATTTAGTCTCTCAAACTTTTAATTTGTGTCACTTAAGGGGCAAAGGGTGATCGCAGCCATAGTTATGATGGGAACAGTGTAATTTAATTTATGGCAATCAGTCAAACTAGAGGGGTATGTTAGTAATCTCATTTGGCGCCGGCTTAACTCCGCGTGGGAGAGGGGAAGGTACAACTCCCCAAAACCGGATAAGATAAAATTAGTGTGATATTAAATTTGAAGGATAAAAATAACATAATTGTAGTTTTATAGAACAAAAGTGAAAAAAAAATATTTTTGATGTACGCTGGCATTTTAAAGTAATACTACTTATTATTGCTATCTGAAAGTAATAAAAAATGATTAACAATTAATATATTTATATTCATATTTAAAATCAAATTACAAATATAGAAGAAAGATAAAAGAATTTAAGTATCGGTTATAGTGGGAATGAGCGATGGTAGTGGTGGTGGGGTGGCGATAATGGTGGTGGTGATAGTGATGGTTGTCGTGAAGGGTGGTGGTCAAGCGATAAAGATAGTGGTGGTAGAGGTAAAGGTTGGATAGTGACAATGATGGTAGGGTGGTGGTGGGGGCGAGGTGACGGTGGCGACGATGATGGTGGTGGTGAGGGTAGTAAGGATGGTGATGGTCGAGCGGTAGAGGGTGAGGGTGGTGGTAGTGGGCTGGCAACAGTAATAATGACGATAGTGGTAATAGTAGGGGACAATAGTGCTTGTTGTGGTAGAAGCGGTGGTGGTAAGGGGCGGGGGGTGATGGGTAGTGGTGAGGCGGTGGGTGGGGTGGTGGTAGTGGGGGTGGTGACATTGGAGATGATGGTAGGGGGTAGTTTGGTAGTGGAGTGACGATGAGGGGTGATGGTGGTAGTGGGTGGTGATGGGATAGTTCCAAACGCTATTTTTTTTTTTAAGTATTTATGAAAAATTATAAGTATTAAAAGTACTTTTAAAAAGTCACTTCAAATACATCCTTAGAGTCCTATTTTTCTATTAAATTTGGAGTATTAATATTAACCGTCTGATTAATTTTAAAATAAAATTTAAATAGATCTCAACCATGAATAACAAAAATCATTTTGTTTATCTTTTAAGATTTGAATTGTATTATACTTTATTATATAAATAGACTAGTTATTGCATGTGCCTGTAGGCACAAAATAATACAAAATGGTAAACAATAAACATATTTGTATTCATATCCAAAATCAAATCACAAACATAGAGAAGAGATAAATGAATTTAAGCATCGATTTGAAGTAGGGGTGAGAGATAGTGGATGAGAGTGGTAGTGGTAGAAGATGGTGATGGTTGTGATGGGTGGCAATGACCGTGGTGATGGTGGTGTCGACTGCAACGACAACGATGGTGATGATGGTGGTGGTGGCGGCAGCGACGGTGGCACGACGGTGATGGTGGCGGTAGGGGTTGGTGGTGGTGATAGTGGCGACGACGATAGTGGTGGTCGTGACAACGATGGTGGGGAGGTGGGGGCGACGGTAGTGGCGATGGTAGCGAGCGACAGTGGAGGNAAAAAAAAAAACTTTTAAACATGCATGGATCACATTCATGCCTATAGTGGAGTTTGGGAAGGCAAATGATAGGTAACCTTGCCCTCATAATGGTCACAGAACCAGTGTTGCGGGTTCTTTTACCGTTATGAACCCGCAATACTTGGGTGGATGAATAAAACTGGTTCCTTGGGAAGCAAGAATAAGAGGGAAAGTAAAAGAAAAACAGATGCATCATGAAATATTACCTGCATCACCCAGATCCATGAAAAAGCGGAAAACAGGGCCATTCCTCTCACTCTTAATAACTGCTGAAAACATCTTCTTAAGCCAGTCTGGTGTTCTATGGGTATCAGAGAATCATCCAAAAGCACTTCAGGGATATATTTTAAAAAGCACAAATTGAAAGCAGACACAAATTAAAAACAAGAGGCATATTTTTTAAGGCGACATGTACACATAATAACACATCCGTATAACACCACACAGAAACAAAGATCACGACACAGATCCCATATCAAAATTAAAGCAAAGTTAAAAGCGCATACAGGGTCGAATGGGCATCATGAGGACCAGGAACCCTGTACTTTTGATAGGCACTGTGGGCTTAACTAACTGGGAACTATTGCTGACCTTTTAACTATTCGTATAACAAGCAAATTCAAATTGAGGTGTTGTGCTAGACTGATGAATTAGAATTTAGAACCCATATCACAACCATAAAGCAACTTATTTTTTGCAACAAAAAAAAATAAAAAATAGAGTAACATTTTGATTCCCATAAAAGCATTACTACTACATCATTAAGGACTAACTGCCTCTTACCCATGCTTAAATACTCCAAGAGGTCGTTTTCTTCCCTCTTTCTCTTTTTCACATCAGTTCATATTGAAACTAAAATACATATAAAGACGGGGAACTAGTAGACAAGCAAAAGGAAGACATTTCATCTGATAACCAAAAAGAAACAACAATCAATCAAAAATTTGATCTAGCAAACATATCGTCGCTAGAAAACATATTCCTGAGAAAAGACTCTTCTTTTGTTTAAAAAATTCAATTCCTACTTCACTATTGTCGAATTTCACCAATCAAAAAGAGCACTTAACTTCATAGACCCCCATGGTTTTTCATATTTTCTAAAACAGTTAATTTCACAACATAATTCCCCAAGTATTAAACTGAAAGATCAGAACTTTTGTGCAATTTAGGGTATAAATGTCTCCAAAAGAACACAAAGAGTACCCCCGCCTCCCCCCCCTACCCCCGCGGCGGGGCGCCCCCCCAAAAAAATATTAGGCCAAAGCGTGCACAAAATCTAGGCGGACCAATTTCTTGAATACCAAAACTTTCAACACCATAATTTAGAATCTTGAGCTCACTAATATCCTTCTCAATCACAGAAATATATGGGTATATAACTGTATATGTAGAAAGAGAGAGAGAGAGAGAGAGAGAGGAAGAGGTTACCTTTTGGAGATGAAGGGAATGTCGAAGTGAGTGGAGACAGCCATGAGACCAGTCCCAGAAAGGTCACACATACTGAAAACCTGGCCCACAAAGGCCGGCCCACTGGATTTCCCTGGCGAATTCAGACCAGAAATCCTCACTGTAGAAGGAAACGCCGAACCGGACTCTGACGGCATGCCTTTCATTGCTGACGACGACGATGAAAAAGAAGATGGCTTTGAAGAAAACGACAGAGACTGAATCGACTCAATTGCGGCTGCTGAAGAGTCAGCGAAGAGTAGTGGAGCGCAAATCTTTGAGGGTGAATTGACCGGAGGTGTTGCTGACGGCGTCGTTTTGGGGGTGAGGAGAGAGGAAAGATTGGAAGCAGTGGATTGAATGATGCGCGAGATGTGGTTGACATGGTGGTGGTCGTAGTGGTGGGGTTCCGACGAGGAAGCCATGTAGAGAGGCAGATAGATACTACCTTGTGATATTCATCTTTGGATTTTCCGGTTCTCTCTTGCAACTGGTGAATTTGTATGGATACAGAAAACAAAAAGGGTAAAATGCATTTTTAGTCCCAAAATTATATTTTTTGTCAATTTAATCCCTAATATTTCAATTATATAAATTTAGTCTCTCAAACTTTTAATTTGTGTCACTTAAGGGGCAAAGGGTGATCGCAGCCATAGTTATGATGGGAACAGTGTAATTTAATTTATGGCAATCAGTCAAACTAGAGGGGTATGTTAGTAATCTCATTTGGCGCCGGCTTAACTCCGCGTGGGAGAGGGGAAGGTACAACTCCCCAAAACCGGATAAGATAAAATTAGTGTGATATTAAATTTGAAGGATAAAAATAACATAATTGTAGTTTTATAGAACAAAAGTGAAAAAAAAATATTTTTGATGTACGCTGGCATTTTAAAGTAATACTACTTATTATTGCTATCTGAAAGTAATAAAAAATGATTAACAATTAATATATTTATATTCATATTTAAAATCAAATTACAAATATAGAAGAAAGATAAAAGAATTTAAGTATCGGTTATAGTGGGAATGAGCGATGGTAGTGGTGGTGGGGTGGCGATAATGGTGGTGGTGATAGTGATGGTTGTCGTGAAGGGTGGTGGTCAAGCGATAAAGATAGTGGTGGTAGAGGTAAAGGTTGGATAGTGACAATGATGGTAGGGTGGTGGTGGGGGCGAGGTGACGGTGGCGACGATGATGGTGGTGGTGAGGGTAGTAAGGATGGTGATGGTCGAGCGGTAGAGGGTGAGGGTGGTGGTAGTGGGCTGGCAACAGTAATAATGACGATAATGGTAATAGTAGGGGACAATAGTGCTTGTTGTGGTAGAAGCGGTGGTGGTAAGGGGCGGGGGGTGATGGGTAGTGGTGAGGCGGTGGGTGGGGTGGTGGTAGTGGGGGTGGTGACATTGGAGATGATGGTAGGGGGTAGTTTGGTAGTGGAGTGACGATGAGGGGTGATGGTGGTAGTGGGTGGTGATGGGATAGTTCCAAACGCTATTTTTTTTTTTAAGTATTTATGAAAAATTATAAGTATTAAAAGTACTTTTAAAAAGTCACTTCAAATACATCCTTAGAGTCCTATTTTTCTATTAAATTTGGAGTATTAATATTAACCGTCTGATTAATTTTAAAATAAAATTTAAATAGATCTCAACCATGAATAACAAAAATCATTTTGTTTATCTTTTAAGATTTGAATTGTATTATACTTTATTATATAAATAGACTAGTTATTGCATGTGCCTGTAGGCACAAAATAATACAAAATGGTAAACAATAAACATATTTGTATTCATATCCAAAATCAAATCACAAACATAGAGAAGAGATAAATGAATTTAAGCATCGATTTGAAGTAGGGGTGAGAGATAGTGGATGAGAGTGGTAGTGGTAGAAGATGGTGATGGTTGTGATGGGTGGCAATGACCGTGGTGATGGTGGTGTCGACTGCAACGACAACGATGGTGATGATGGTGGTGGTGGCGGCAGCGACGGTGGCACGACGGTGATGGTGGCGGTAGGGGTTGGTGGTGGTGATAGTGGCGACGACGATAGTGGTGGTCGTGACAACGATGGTGGGGAGGTGGGGGCGACGGTAGTGGCGATGGTAGCGAGCGACAGTGGAGGCGACGACGGTGGCGGCGGCGGCAGCGATGGCAACAATGGTGGTGAGGGCGGCGGCGGCGGCGGCGATGATAGTTGTGGTGGTGGCGACAATGGTGGTGGTAGAGATAGTGGTGAGACGGTTTGAAACACTATTTTTTTTTAAGTACTTATAAGAAATAATTCGTAAAAATATTTTTAAAAAGTCACTCCAAACATACCATTAAAGACCTATTTTTTTTATTAAATTTAGGGCGTTAATATTAACCGTTAGATTAATTTTAAAATAATATTTAAAATAATTTTAACCGCGAATAACAAAAATTATTTTATTTATTTTTGAGATTTGAATTGTAAATTACTTTATTATATAGATGTCAAGTTTATTGTATAAATTTTTTTTGTCGCAATTTATGGCAGGAGGTGGCTCTCATTGGCATAGATAGCCTTGTTTTTGATTTGAGAGTTTGCTCTGAAACACAACTTCAAATGTTGCGATTTGCATTCAACAAATGGGTATGTTTTATAGCATGCACCCATAAGTTATATTGAAGATTTTGAAATTGTTATACATCTGAACACTTGTTTCCCTTCAACATGGATAAAATTGAAATGATATTTTTAAACTTAAACATGTGGTAGACTAATATTAGGCTGGCATGCAATGAGCAAGTACTGAATACTGGACCAAATAAGGACACAACTATTGGAAAAGAAAAGCTACCTATATGAGCAGTGCCTTACAAGAAATACTAAAAATACTGAGTTTTTTGGGAAGAAAAAAAAACACTAGATCAGAGAACTTTCCATCTGAGAATAGGAGGAGAAACAGGAGAGGATGACAGTATTACACTATCTTGAATAGAAACCAAATGCTAGAAGCAATGCTTCTGTAATCCATGATTTTTCCCTGCAGCCCTTGCCAACTGGGACTGGAACAGAGTCTTGGTCTCCATGATCCATGCTTATTCATGAACCTCATCATTCACATAAGTCTCATACACAAATTGGGCACTCAATAGATCCACAACTGCAGAACCTACTGATTTAAACACCGTTACCTCTCTCTCATCCGTCCTCCCCACCTTCTCTCCTTTCATCAACTCCACCAGGTTTCCAGCAATCTGATCCCTAGTTATCACCCCTCTCTCAAATGCACCCACCAACTCACCAGCCTCAACCAATGCCGCCTCATTGTCAACAAACACCCTCCCCCTCCCTATGGCTTCATCATCACACTCTCTCATTGAACTTGTAAACGACCCAACCAAATCCAAATGCGCTCCCTCCTTCAACTCAGCCCCCTTCACCATTGGCGTTTCCGAGTTTGTGGCACAGCTCACTATATCCCCCAATCCCACCACCTCCTCCAAACACCCCCTGCTCTCAAAACACACATCTTCATATTCACCTCCACCGCGCAACTTTTCAACCAAAATCCTCGCTTTCTCTGTTGTTCTATTCCAAACAACAACCCTCTTTACACTTGGCCTTACAGTCAAATGAGCTTTGATCAAATGTGATGCTAAAGAACCAGCGCCTACCATAACAAGGACTTCTGATTCATTTCTTGATAAGTACTTTGAAGCCAAAGCTGAGACACATGAAGTACGGTAAAGGGTGAGTTCGGTGGCGTCCGTGGAAGCTAGGGTTTGGCCAGTGAGGGAGTTGAAGAGGATGTAGCTTGCGTGCACTCCGGGTAAGTTTAGGGAGGAGTTGTTGGGGTGGTAGGTGACGAGTTTGACGCCAATGTAGGGAAGCGAAGGAGAGACAGACCAAGAAGGCATGAGGAGGAGAGAGGAATTAGGGCTTGTTTGGTGGGTTTGGCGGATTGGGGATTGTATGGTGGGGGAGAGAGAGGGGAGGGCGTTTTGGAGGTGATGGATTAGGGTTTTGTGGGTGAGGAGGGAATGGAGTGTTGGTGTGGAGATGAAGATTGGTTGTGTGATGGTGGGATTGGGGTTCAGGTTGACTTGGTCGTCTCTGGTCGCCATTGATGAGAGACTTCGAATCTGTGTGTGTGTGTGTGGGTGGGTGTGCAGAGACGAGGAAATGAGAAGGGACTTCCAGGTATATGCAGTGACTTTGGCGGAATGAGGCTGCTGCTGAATTCGTGGTTCCCATTTATTTTGTTGTGTATTCATTTATAATGAACGGTGATGTCCAATCCGTGGCTGATTGGTGGGTGGCCAAAATGGGAACGACGACGTTTTGAACTCGTATGCCGTCAAACCTTTGGGCCTCGATTCTCTGGAGACATTCACCAAAACTACGTTGTTTCGCACACAAAAACGTCTTTTTACAACCACCTCGCAACCCCTGCCTCTCTTTCTCCCGCCAACACTCTTTTTTTCCTGTTAGATTCCTCAATGGGTATCAAAGNTTCACCAAAACTACGTTGTTTCGCACACAAAAACGTCTTTTTACAACCACCTCGCAATCCCTGCCTCTCTTTCTCCCGCCAACACTCTTTTTTTCCTGTTAGATTCCTCAATGGGTATCAAAGTTTTTAAGAATCACCATTTAACTAAAATAATTTAATCCAAAATAGTAAAAACATGTAATATATATACGTGTCTTAATACATAATCATGTATTTATATATATATATATATATACTTTTGGGTATTATTATATGTGATATTAAGCTTCAAAGAAGATCACAAATCCAAACAAGAAAAATCAGTCCTTCATTCTTGCACTGTTCAAATCCGAATTTCCCAAGAATATAAAAATAAATAATTATCAAAATAATATTAGTAATTATAATAATAAGGTTGCATTTGATATATAAGACACCTATTTATAACGGTTTTGAGAGAGACGTGATAGACAACCTTCTTCAATTTTAGATAGGTTGACTTTGAGAGATCCTTACTCCCGATATATTTCCTATATTTTAAATGTATCTGTTGAGTACTTTTCCTTTACCTTATTGTAACTAAAAAAGGATTGGAACAAAATATAATATTTACTTGCTCATATATTTTATTACATTTTTACAGACGTCACCTAATTGATACAATTTGTCACACTAGCCACACAAATCCAAACATTCAGACTGTTTTCCATCCAGATGCTGGGTTCATCTGAGGAACTGTTTAGATAGATATTGCATATAACCAACACTGACATGATTGTACAGACCAAATATTCTGTGCTAGCTAAACCATGACCATCGTGTCTCGAGTGTTTCCTGCTTAAGCATCGAAGCAACAGCAATCAAACAGGCTGGAATAGTTATCAGCCAACAACCCTTCTCCGTCGCTAGATTTGTTTGAAGTATGTTAGTTCAGTTTGAGATGCAGTCCTCTCAACTGCCATCCACCAGTCGTCGTCTTTGTCACATGTTTCATCCTGCTTGAGTAACATAGAAACAGAACCTAGTTAGAAGAATAAAATAAGGGGTGATTGGGTACATCAAAGAAATTCAATCCATAGAAGAGTAACAACGTTTCATTATCATTAGAAAATGCAGCCCCAAAAACATTTATGCAAACATTTCCTAGAACCAGTTCAAACACAGAACATAACAACTAAAATGATATGAATAGAGCTATGAGTCTAACCATATCTGTGAGATCCAGAGATTTTTGCAAATTTTCAACCTTTTCGGCCACACTTATGGCCTCAAGCCACCACCCATCTTTCTTGCAGCTGTCAGTAATTCTTTCATCACTCCCAAAAGTTATCGGCTCGTCACCTTCATTATGCCCCACTATATTGAAGAAACTTGTAGAATCAGGGATGACATCGGTAGGGATAGGACGCAAGGGAGATCGATAACCTGGTACCATCAACCAGCTCAATTGTAAGTGATCAGTTATGTGTTTAAACTTATAATTGATATTTTATTGCATGATAGAACTGTGCTGCACCTCTGCAATCAGGATCATGACATTTCTGATAATATACAGCCCTTCTTAGGTCGACGACGTAAATCACTGAATGAAAAATCACGACAAATAAATAAGTCAATGCATACTTCATTTTTTCCAGATTACTTGTTTATTGCACTATCAGAAAATGAAGGCATGCAAGACTCAATGCTAACAACTATATCAACTAAAAGAAACATTCATGGGGTATTGGTATAGATTGTTTTTTTCCGAGTAAAAAAGGTGTACGCAAGACACGAGACTTTTGCCATTACGGGTCTGAAAAGAGTAAAATGTATGCAGTCTTACTTTTATTTCAGAGAGGCTGTTTTCTTGACTCAAACCCATGACTTCTGGAACAATCTTACTGTTCCAAGTCTGGTATCCAAAGATAGGATAACAACCCGAATTAGCTAGAGTCGTCTGTGGGATTGTTCCTACTTTGTAATGACAACATTGTAGTGAAATGATCCTAGAGCAATTATATAGTACATTCTCCCGCATGCTTATAAATAAACTCTTCTACGCTACCAAAATCATAGTCCAAATTTGTTTAGCCACGTTAATTTCTCAAAATGTTTTGCTTTAAGTGACAGCCAAGTTAGAGGTCTAATATTTAATCTATTACTATTGAGCTCTGTATGATATCTATATTTGTTAGTAAGACACTGATGGACTCAGCCGCATGAATTTCTCCTTTCCAGGAGACGAGACATCATGAGCAATCTTAGACATCCAATCCATTAACTCCATCCACCTTTCAGGTCCAAAACAATTTTTATTTTTATTTTTTTGGACCTGAAATTTTGTGTAATGCAGTGAAACCATTCAGGAAAGCAATAAAATTGTTGTAGTTGTAGCTTTACAGGAGGAAGGACATCAAACAAATGATACTTACCGTGATTGCTTTTATGTTGTCTACCAATTCGTTCGCAGTATCTATTTCTCGACATGCTGTACACCATCAATCCATACTCGGATAACCAAAACCAACTTCGAATTTTTCCTAGAATTGCAAATAATTATCAAGAAGACAACAAAGAATATCATAAGAATCAGTCGCCTATAAATATGTTATTCAGGAATGTTAAGGCACAAACAGCACAAGCATAGAACCTCACACTGAACAGTAAAATCACTTATCCAACATACAACAACTATGATAACATTAGCTTGACCCTCTGGGCCCTTATCTTAAGCTAAAATGGAATAGAATTTAATGGCTAAGGGTTTTGAAGGAGTGCTGGAGTTAGGTCTCCCGGTATTGTAAAGTAACAAAAAGGGTGATGGAATATGCTAGAAAAACCTGCACTCAACATAACTGTCAAAGTGCGTACATCTGGAAAGAGGTGATTGGATAGAGCAAACTAGAAACATATAACTTTGATGTAGGATAATTGGGGCAAACCAGTGGCTCATTACATACTATAAAACATGATGATACGAAATATCCTTAATCCTAACTTCGCATGCCCTGCTAGATCAAGTTAATGTAACATAGCAAGATAAAATTAAAATCAGGATATGGAAATATGGGGATAAGAAATAAAATCAGGTATTTTTATATGTTTATGTCTGCAAAAGAACATATGTTTTGTTTAAGAAGGTACTACCTGGTACATTTCCTATAGAGGCCACAGATTCCACAAACATGTCCAAAGCTGGGAAAGGTGATTTTCCCATCAAGTAAGTTCTTGAAGCATCGGTTGTGCAAGCATTCAATATAAATTCTTGGGGAAAATCAGATTGTTTACAAAAATCGCTGTTTATCTGCAATATAGAAGAACTCCAAGCGTGAATAGATCAGTTTCTCATCCAACAAATGCAACTTCTCAAAAGTATAGCAACTTTGATAAAACAGTCTAATTGGAAAGCAGACAGCAAAACATTTAGACCCTGTCAGCAAAAAGAATGTTCAAAAGGTGTTCTGAAACACACCTGAATAATTTACAAGGCAAGAAATAAAAAGCATATATGAAAGGACTTTTTTCAGCTAGTGCGTGAGTCTCGCACCACTGCGAGGTTTGGGGATAGTTAGATTTATATGGCCATACCCCGCAGGAAAAGAGTCTACTTTCGTGACTTGAATTCATAATGTCCAGGTCATAATGCAGCAACATTAAGAAGAAGATAAGTCATCTAGATAGTCAAGAATTACCTCAATATCAAAGTGCAGGGCCTTCACGCAATCCAAATCCATTTTGCAGATTAGAAGCTCTTCACAGTTGACATCCATATTGCAGATTAAGGATGCCATGAGCATTTCTTCATCATTCTGTTGCACATCAACACATTATTGGTCGTAGCCAAACCAGTAAGTTATTACTTGTGAAATGTCACAGGACAGATGAGATAAATTTCCAAAAACTGTTAATATGATCATAGAACCACAGGTATACATTTCTGTTTTGGACACTAGTCCTTGGTCTGGTTATGATGGGGTTGCATAGCAGGAAAGAGACATCGCGGTGACCACTCTTCTGATATAATTTACTCCTATGCCTCCAGCCTTCGTTAGAAACTTGCAAGTCTAATGACACTGGAGGCATGTACAATGTCATTTTAAAAAAGATATAAATATGATAAAACAAAAGTGGTACTCTTGATTCCAAGGGGAAAAATAGAGCTTAATCTTACTAGCTAGTTTAAGCCTGTTCACAACTAATAGATACATTACTAAAAAAGGAGATATGTGTCGCGAACTTCAAGGATCTACTTAATTAGCCAATCCAGTCTGTGGAACATAAATGAACAATGAACACCTTTAGCAGTTATTGGAAAAGTTCTTCACTAGGGCCAATAGTGTAAATAAAGCCTCACATGACGGAGAAATGCCACCAAAATGTACCCTGCCTTCACGTGAACCTCTACATATTTTTTTTTTGGTCAGACACTATTATAAGGGAGGGGCTGGCAAGATTTAAACCCGCGACCTTAAGAACCAACCGCTAGCCTCAAAACTATTAAGGTAATGTGTTTTTGGAGTAGAAGTAGAATATATGGTAGTTTTAGGTCAATGATCAAAATTATTAAGTCCAGATCATTTACTGGATCAAACACTGCACACTTAAAACCGGAAAAGTATAAAGAAACAATGTTTTGGTCTAATTTTAAGTGAAGTTACATACCATATCCTTGCATTTAAATCGCCTAGTAGGGAGAAGCACAGAACTCTTGCCAGCTTTAGAAGACAAAGGTAGGCGAAAGCAACGATTTCTAGTATAGACAGCACTATCCACAAAAAGCTGACATGGGATATCGGCAGAGCTTGAATCTTTTGAAACAAAAAGTTTTTCAAAATTTTCATCCCTTCCCCTTGAATTGTAAATCCGTGAGCATATCTAACAAAATGTCAATAAACAGTAATGACTGTTGACTTCCCCAAAAAAAAGGAAAAGAATAAAAGAAAAACTAAAAAAAATAATAAGGGTAACAGTATAATTCTTTTGAAGGCAAAAGAAGAGGGGGAATATATGTTGTAGAACTTGCAAACAAAAAGAATATTCACACCAAACTACATTAGTTAACAAGGTCAAAATCATGAAAGGCCTCTAATACTGTTTATTACAAAGACTTATTTTAAATAATAATAGTTAGAGAATTCAAAAGTATTACTGCACCTATAATTGTGCCTAGTGACGAACTGCTTCTCCACTAAGACATACCTCAGCAACAAATGCACCAGCATGTGAGTTGTCCTTAAAAGCTGCCTTCGGTAAGCGGATGATTAGATGACGAGAAAACTTTTCTGCCAACGAATATAACCAGTGTTATTGCAAAAAGATTAGCCCGTAAGAAAACCTTATAGAAAAAAGTGATATTTATATCAACAGCAAGTACTCTTCATAATCTAATATGATTCTCCCATAAGTCTCTCACTAGGTGTATATGTAATACATATTCCTATGCTTGTTTTGGGCATGCCTATAACCCTGCCTGTTGGCTTAGCTCAGTCGCTCAGCCCAATGCCATCTAGGGTTGGGCTTAGTTTGAAACTTATTGGTCAATCTATCCGGATTAAGATTTTGATTGCGATTTTCCAAATGCATTGTGTTTGTGTAAAACTACTAGCATAAAAATCAATAAAATAAGTGATAAAATGGATGTATCTTATGCTTGGTGGCAAAAAATATCGTATGTAACCAATATCAACAAATAAAAGGTCGCAACCAACATCAATAGGATAAAAGGTGTCACACCTATGATAGCAATCATACCTTCAGTAGAAGAATCAAGTTCCACAACCCAGTCATGGTTTCCTTGAATAAAGTACTTGTCAGATAAGGCATCAAAGATAACTGATAGCAGGAGATCAACCATTTCCTCTCCATTCCTTTCCGGATTTTCTCTCTTACTAAACTCCAAATCAAAATAGAGGTGACATGGCAATCCCTGTCAGCATACATAGTCATCATCTCTGAACAACACCAAATTTTTGTTGCCCCTCCAAAAAAAAGACCTTGACAAAACCAGAGTCTTTAGATGGCAAACACAATATATGTATTTTGGCTAGCTTTGCCACATAATAGCTGAATAATAAGTAGGTATTGGAAACAATAGCCATAAGAGGAGAAGTTTCAAATAAATCAAAAAAGATAAGAGATAAACAATTACAGACCACCCCATCCCTCCCCAAGAGTGCCAAAACATAAAGAACAATTCCAGATCGACCATTCAAGACAATCTCTACCACATCTGGTCATTGTTGAGTTCATATGGAAAATATGCATAATTAATGACAGAAAATGAATTGAAAATATCTTCTATGGCCCATGATTCTTAATAATAATATCCACCACAATTGGAAAAGAGTGCTGGACATGGTTACACAAAGGCATTACCTTAACAAGGTTTTTCACTAGATTAGTGTTATTGTTTCTATTAAATAGATGGTAGGATGGCCAGTTTCCCCGTTACGCAGATCACAAAGCTCAAGCCTATGATGTTGAACAACAAAGCATGACTCAAATACTCTACTATGTAAGTCACTACTATCATCAACTTCAAATTGCCAATGTACCCCTCAGCAGTATGGTATTACTTTCCATTTACTGCTTGAACTAATAAATCAATTTGATTTATATAGAAATGTAAAACACTTATGTTTAACCTCATTCAGAAAATTTGGCTTGTTGTCTGGTTTATGACACCATTTTACACAACAGCAACTATGAAATCTTAAAAAATAAAAATAAAACAGCAAAAGTCAAACAGGAAACAGAATGTAAGGTACTTAAGCACAGCTTGAAGAAATTTAACTATATACTAACCAAATATTATCTCAATTTGGTCAGTATGTTCCCACAAAATGTACAAGTGCATTTGTTTGTACTTATGGAGGAAAATGGATTGTTACCTCCTGAATCACTTCATAATGATGGCGGAACTTCGGGTTCATGTTTTTATACCTACAATCAAAATGAACAGCACAAACACATGGAGGAAAATGGATTGTTACCTCCTGAATCACTTCATAATGATGGCGGAACTTCGGGTTCATGTTTTTGTACCTACAATCAAAATGAACAGCACAAACACATACATTAAAGGCAAGAGCAGCAAAGTACTTTAGCCAGAATTTAAAATGGAACAAGATAATAGAGCCACCTTTGGCAAAACTCCTTATATGAGGAAACAAGGAACCTTCGTTGCCCATTGATATGATCTTGGTAACTGAACACACGAGCATGGGGATGCTCTTTTGCATACTTCATCGCCTCATCCTGCCTTGGGAATGTAGCCCATATGTCTTCTCTAGACAAATACAAAGCCAAGCAAGGTAAATTAACAGCAATAAGTATAGAAAACCCTTTAAAATCATCACGAATAAACAAAAAACAAAACAGCAGTAGAATTACCAGCGACCTTACAAGTACCTTAATTTATTTTGTTCAGTGAGATCAACACGGATTTCATGTAACAATCGCAATAAACGAATTGGTCTTTTTGGTGGCACACCATGTGGAGAACCATAGAACACAATTGGAGAGAAGCGCTTGCCATTGTTGAAGTTGTTTCTTTTAACAGCTGGAGAACTCAGCTGACAGAAGAATCATTTGCACATAGTTCAATTAAGATAAGCAGTCAACTATCTCATTAGGCATGACAATATCATGCACAACAATAGACACAATAAACAGCACAATATTTGTACAAGAATTATGGGAGCATCATCACCCCTAGCAATCAACACCTAATGAAAAAAACGCATAAAATCCAGAGATAAAATTTTGTAAAGGAATTTGAAGAAAAATACGACAAGTAATGGTGTAAATACTTTCTGCATAGACTGCTGCAAATCAATTGCCTTATGCTGGTCTTCTCCTGCTGATCCTGAAGAAGGAATGTCAGAACACGGGGACTCTTCTTGTGTTGAACTCGTTTGCTTCATTTTGTCTTTCTTTGTTTTTCTCACTCTGAGTGCAGATTCTATAATACAAAAGATTCAAACAAACGAAATCAAATCAAGCAATCGAAAAATAAAATACAAGAGAAACACTAATATAATATATCTTGATTTCTTGCCCAAACTTGACAAAAATCTCGTTCAATTGTTTTTTTTTTGGAACTCAATCACTGATTGATTAGCTCATCTATGAAGAATTCCTACCAGTGATGTGATAGGATATAATAGCCAAAACCCCCCAGCCAAGTAAAATAAGAAATAAACAACAATCTCTGGGTAGTCTTCAGGATGCTTGACTAATTGGGCCAATAAATACTGAGCTGTGACAAATCTATCAAGGAACAAACGCAATATACATGTACAAACACCAATTCGTGAAACGTATTTCAGATTAAAATCTTGATGTCGAGTTCCATTAATCATGTAAACCTAAGAAAGTAGCAATGCATGAAAATTTAAGAAAATCGCATGTGCATGAGAGAGAGATAGAGAGATTACGTGGTGGAGAGACGCCGCATTTGAAGCACTCGAACAAACGATCAACGTCGTCCATGGCCGCTACTGGATTTCCCCCAGTCTCGAACAGGCGATCAACCCATACAGATCTAACCTAAACTGAATAGTATTGGTGAACAAACATTTGGATAAGGATTCAAGGACTTAGGGTTGTATTTGTACATGTGCAACTTAATATGTGCAAATAGCTATCATACGTATTAGTAAGTAATGTCAACGACGTAGTTTCGCCAAAGGCATTGCCTACCTGAGACGCGACGACGACAACAACAACAGATAATTAAACAGCCATAGGACTAGGAATCATACTACGTTGATAACATTGTGTGAAACCGACTCTGTTTTTCCTATCCGTTGGGATTTGTACACAAACTTTCTTTATTTGCATGGATTGGTGGCGAAGCCCAACGTGGTGAATACAATATCATATATNTATTAGTAAGTAATGTCAACGACGTAGTTTCGCCAAAGGCATTGCCTACCTGAGACGACGACGACGACAACAACAACAGATAATTAAACAGCTGTTTTTCCTATCCGTTGGGATTTGTACGCAAACTTTCTTTATTTGCATGGATTGGTGGCGAAGCCCAACGTGGTGAATACAATATCATATATAGTGAGAGAAAACGATGTTCCTTTTTGGGCACTCATATCATCCTATACCCCCATTAAAGAGATTTCGATAACAGCGTTAACAAAAAGACCATTGTAATATAACAAAAAGACCTTTTTGTAGTATGTGTACTTAATAAACTTTAATCAACATGTTATAATCAATTAAATAAAAATTTTAAATTTTTATTTAAGAGAAAAAATGATGTTTTTAAAATGAATGGAAAGGTATAATTTATATTTCAAAAATAAGTTAAGTATTATAATTAGGATGACTTTAACCAAATGAGGATATTGTGAGAATTATAAGAAAATTCTTTGTTAATGTCAGCATTTTTCATAACTTTTTCTAACGTCCGTTAAGTGGAGGAGGTCTACCTGTTATACGTTTCAAATGTCAAGGGATCTCACTATAATTTTTGAAATGTGAGGGAGAGTCTGTGTAATTAAACCAAATGTTAGGGGGTTCGGTTATAATTTATCCTTTTCTTTTTTGAATTTCAAAAAGAAAAAGTCGTCTACTTCAAATATGCGTTTGTATATTAAGGACAAATCGCTTTAACAGTGTCATTTCTAAAATGTGAGGGGGTGTCTGTGTAATAAAATTAAATATCATTTATCCAGAAGAAAAAAGGGTTTGAATATAATTTATCCAAAAGAAAAAGAACTTTGATGGTTTGATTGAGTATATCTATTAATAGCATCTTCAACCACAATTTAAATTTAAATTAATATTTGAGTAAAAAACTTGATTTGATATAAAGGATTTTAATGGACAAACTCAAATTTAAAGAAAGAGAGACCCAAATTTAAATGAGAGCAAACTCAAATTTAAAGGGAAGTAAAAATGATCATAAGATATTTAGAAGATAGTGAAATCTTACCATTAAAGATTTAAGTCTCTCTTAATTTGAGTCAAAAAAATGAGTTTCCTTTAAGTTGGTATAAGTTTGAGTCAAGAGTTGGAGAAATATTTTTTAACTTTTTTACTCAAATTTAAATTTGAGTCTAAATTTAAATAAGGGCCGGAGATGTTTTGAGTAACACATGCAAAAAAGTTTTTTGATGATTAGATCTTATTTTCACCAATCAAGCCAAACACCAATTGCATGACATAAATCCATTAGCTTTCTCTCTTCCACCACGCTTAAAAATCAGTACAAATGATGTTTTTAGCTAAAACGTTAATTGTTCTAATGTTTTTAGGTGTAAATGGACTACAATCTTGCACAAAAAAATCAATTGGTTTGAAGTTTTTATGTTAAAAACGTTACTCTAATTGACGTCTTTTATATAAAAACATCATTCTCATTAATATTTTTAAAAGTGACTAAGTTTGAGAAATACTTTTAAAATAATCCTCTTTTGAATATTTTTTTTGAAAATCAGATGGATTGGGATAAAAGCTTGTGTTGTATTATTGGCTTCTTTATTAATGGTAACAGTTCCAACCCAAAAGAATTTGTTCTTTCCTGCAGCTTCCGGCCACCTCCGGTCCGACGGGTTGGTCGCCTTGTAGCCGGCGATTAGCTCTACTATGCAGTGAGGTGTATAGCACTACGTCAAGACTCTCTTTTGAAAGTGAGATCTCCACCCGCTTTAAGAAGAGGGAAATATCACTCTTAAATGCATTCGTGATTTTATATACGATATCACCAGAAACACCTTAGAACTTCCATCTAGTAGATCATATTTAAAAATATATACGATACCGTATCGAATATTAAACAATAATTGAGATATATGTATATGAACTCTTTGTCCCTTTTTCCTTGCAAACAAGTTTTCAATGACAAGTTCTACACGTTGAGTTTATAACTACAGATATTAGCATCTGTCACAGTGTCGAATATGGGAACGGACACATTATGAGTTGTGACTTTCTTTGGTTGAGTCCAAAAAGGACAACCTATATTATATATGGGCAAAGCGGGACAAGCTCTACCCATGAATTCATAATAAAAAACCAATTTCATTTTCATGTGCCATGCCTGCTCACTAATTTTACTGCAATTTGCTCCTGAAATGCACTTCATTTTTGGATCATTTGACATTGGAGATCAAATCTGTATGTCTAGGCAACTTTTGAACCTAAAAGTATTTGATATTCTTTGTTGAAATTCTTTGGAGCTTATACTTGGCTGTTGGGTTTTCAAATTTCATTATACTTGGCTGTTGGGTTTTCAAATTTCATTATAGAGGCTTGGTCCTTTTGTCATTTGCTGGACTCTTGTCGTGATCAATACAGCCAAATTGGTCTTTTAAGTCTTCACAAAGGCCGGTCTGCCCGCGGACAAGAAGCTACCAAGCATGCTGCTTAGCATATAGTCAATGAGAAAATGCTTCAATATACGAGACTTATTAATCTAATCGTCCATGTTGATCTCTCGTCGACTGTTCAATAATTTTATTAATAACTGATTTTCTTCCGGCAAGGTCAATGTAAAATTATGTGGATTTTGTATAAGAACTTTCTATTTTTTCAACAAGGTCAATGGTTTTGCAATAGTCGTTAAAAATTGATTGTATAAGAGATTGTTCAATGTACAAGGCTTGACAAGGTTGGTGTTTAGTACATAAAAAAAAAAAAAAAAAAATTCGTATACATCAAATAACACATCACAAACATTTTTATTAAATATTTCATAGAATACATGAGACTTGTTAATCTGACAGTTCATGTTGCTTACGTACAAATGATTTGATGAAAAAATTTCATAAAAGAGTAGGTATGAATAGCTGCACACTTTATCATAGTCTTTCCATTCTTCACATAAAAATTCTAGTACCCATGCGAGGCATTATAAATCAGAATGTACCCACCATTTCAGATGCCTTGACTTTACATGTTGCATTCATACAGCTTTCTATATATACGAGGGACTGCTATTTAATGGCCAGAGTTGTATATAATTTTGGTAACCATCCTAACATCTTTAATATGATCTTGTGTATCTCTTCTGTTAATGTCATGCTTGTGCTAGCCTTTTATTTAAGTCCTTTGTTGGTGGCACCATTTTGAATGTTGTTATTACCCTTTGAATCATTTACAACGAACACTCCAAACAAATGAGGAAAAAAGGTCGGTCAATGACGTAACTCTTTCTTTACATGGTCTCTGTTCAAAGGAAAGGCCTTCTTCGCATTGTTAATCTTGTAGGGTCGGACCGCTTTGTTTGCTCCAACTTGGCGAATTGCATCTTCGCACAACATAATCATAATCATATTTATTATTAATATTTGGATATAATTCACTGATTTAACTTACTACTGCTATTGAATTAGTAACTGATCTCAGTCATTTCCTGTCATCCTCCCCTGGTTTTAATTCAGGAAAGAGTCAACACAATAATCTTATTTTGAGTCTAGAGTTTTTCCTTATCAAAACGGGTTTTGCAAAAAAATAAGATTTCATATTAAGCTCCAAATTAATATACGCTATTGGAATGAGATGGCTCCTACAATACTCAATTAACATGGCAAAGTAGGTCACGTAGTATTAAACAACCACCAAAAACTTTTGAGGCAACCTCTGGACACTACATTTTTGGGTGTTTCTTGGCTTGCATCAGCTCAGACCTCAGCACAAAAGCAATGAGATATATAGAATAATATCCACCATTATCTACCTAATTATGCTTTAGTTCCACTAGCATGCATCCAACCCAACGTTGTGAACAAACCTAAATTATTGACTTAAAAATTACATAAACAGTGCAAATACCAGGCTCAACTAAGCAAAGAGGCTCTCTCTCATGTTCTCGAATGCAGCTTTGGTGTTTCGGCTTGAATCTTTGTTGAAGATAGACAGACAGACAGACAGACACACACACACAAAAATAATTTGTTTTCAGATGCTCTTCCCCAAAAGTTGCAAATCTTTTGGGGAAGAACATCTGAATCTTTGTTGAAGACAGACAAACAAACACACATACACACAAATAATTTGTTTTCAGATGTTCTTCCCCAACGCACGCATGTCTAACACACACACCCCCCACTCTATTAACCCCTATCTCTTTACGCTAACTCCCCTCCCTCTTTCTCTCTCTCTCTCACACACACGTGTGTCAGCAATGCATTATTTGCTAGCTAGTGGAACAAACTGTTACATATCAACTATCACAATAAAAATTAGGGTCTTTTGAGATGAATTTTTTGTGACAATTGTGTTCGCAGTCTCAAACCGCAAATACTATTTAAGACGGGCCGTTACCGTCATAAATACTTTTTGAGACTGTACTTATTATAGAGAGACAATGCCACCACAAAAAATATTTACGACGGCAACTAAATTTTTTATGATTGTACTTTACCGCCACAAAAAAAAAAAACCCTTTTTCATGTAGTGTACTTCAAGTCGAAATAAATGTTGATTATTATCTGTAATTCAAGTGTCAACTACTGCCGGTTAACAAGAGGAATAAACCTACTGGGAAAGCCTCTATTTGGTGTTTGCCATCGAATCAATCCACGTTTTCTGTTCATTCTCAACCACTCCCATGCGTATTGATATTTATATATTACTGTTTTCATGTGGCATCATCAGATTTCGAGGTATTTTGAGTTTCAAATGTTATTTTTGTTCATCGGATGCTGTAGCAGTGGGGAAAAACGAGTTGTTTTTGATCTGGTTTGCCCACCTAAGCTCATGTTATATTCATTTTGGGAAAAAAGAAAGCTTATTCACGGTTGAAGTAATAACTAATTTTATTTAACCCGCATCGGTAGCCAATGGTGTGAGGTTTACTTAACGTGTGTCATAGTCTCATACATCTTGAGTTTGATCTTTGTTGGTGTCTCTAGGATTAATCTAATACTGGTGGTTAATAGGTGATTGCAGACATATGGGAATCGTTTGATTGTTGTATTATAGGGTATATTAAAGAGTCATATTGGATTAAAACACTTTAATGCAAGTTTATATTATATTTGGATGCGAGAAATCACTTCGTATTATATATGAATTTAACTAGACAAGTATCACATATGGATAATTCTAATACAATCTATTTGTACTATTGAACTATTTTAATGCTACCAAGAAAGGGGGGTATTATAATACAACCTAGGTGTATTATATCGTTATTTTATAATTTTGCTCTCAATCTAAAAGAAATTCATGTGATCATTCTTTCTTATTTATTTTAATAAAAATTACATAGACATTCTGACTCCATAACAAACCGATCCTTAATTTTTTTACAATGACCTGCCATCCCTTTAAAAGATGCATCTCATTTGTTGTTCACCTGGATAATGATAAACAACGATATTAATAATAAACAAATGAATATATCCAAAATATATTTTTACACAATTAAAGCATCCTTGTTTAATTCTATTATTCAAAAATATTCATAATAAGTAGTATTTATATAGCTTTGGTTCTATTGATATAGTCTTACAAAATATTGGAAGGGATCAAATTGGAGATGATTGAGGATATTTTAGTCCACTCATTTAATACCATTGAATAAATTACCTAACCAAATATTATATTGGACTTGATACTTATTATCCAATTCTTAATACTATACTTAACAAATGCTTGACTAGAATTGGTATTATCTTTATTCCCCATTTAATCTTTGATTTTATCCATCTATTTGGGATTGTCTTGTATTCCCCAATACGACCCTATTTTCTTAATACATCATCTAAACGAGGTTTATTGTACAAGGATGGATCCAAAGTAGACCCAACTTAAAAGGGTTTCTCATACCAAAAAAATAATGATTTAGTTTTATCTTTTGATTGATCTGAATAATAGTATTATTTAAGAATGTACAACATATTATGAATATATTGTAAATAAAAAAATGCAAGCATGAAAGATAGAATCACCATAAGTATCATAGCACGTTATTGTTGTTGTTGTTTTTTTTTTTTTTGGCATTCCTCCCCTTTTATGGACTATTTGTTTTCATGTAAGTTGCTTTATAAGGAAGTTATGAAAGAGGTAGAGATAACGCAAGCATGTACCTGCATAATGTACTATTTAATTATTCTTAATAATATAAATGACAAATCATATGACATGGTGTACTACCTAGTTGTCCTTAATCATACCAATAAAAAAAATAAGTTTTAAAAACTACAAAACTAGTGTGATAAAATCTAACATAAAATCAATTGGATGCTAAAGGAAGGACATTGAATAAGTAAACAAGAGATTGCATGACATGAACAAATTTGTCCCATCTTGGTTAAATCATCTATGATATTGTTCATCATCAAACTTAGTCTTATGTATCGTCCATGTGTTGAATTGTGCGATTGACTGTAACCGAATATCCTCTTGTAAGGTTGTATACCCATTTTTTTTAAGTATTGCTCATATAAACACCAAGTTGTTATCGTCCTAATAGCATACTAGGTGACTTTCACAACAAAAATCTATGATTCCGATAACAATTATCAACTTTGAGATAAACCCACACGACTATAAAAAAAAATCATGAAACGGAAACCTAACATGCACCCTTATCAAACCACTCCATTCTATATTTCATCAAACCATACTATAAAAATATAGGTTACCATATAAGGCTTAAAATAATAGGTTTGGTAACTTAGCTTTTAGTTAGATATTAGTTTTCAGTTAATTATTGGACACTGTTTTATAAATTTTACATTTTTGTAACGTCACTTACCAGTGTGTGATTAACTACTTTTGGCGGTGGGGACTTGGACTTTTGGGTCTTGTATGATTCTGCATATCTTATTTTTCTATTTGTCACTGAACTTGAACAGAGGCTTCTCTATTTAAAACCAACTCCTTCAGTCTAAAACCATATTCTCTTGTGCGTTTTTTTTCCTCAGTTCCCTCTCCAACAACCATAGTTCAGTTCATTAATGGCAGCAAATGATGTGCCTTGTTGTGAACCCATGTTCGGGGTATATCTAGTCATATCTGTGATCCTGGTGGCCTTTGCTGGTCTCATGTCTGGTCTCACTCTGGGACTCATGTCCCTTAGCCTTGTTGATCTTGAGGTCCTCTTGAAGGCTGGTCGGCCCGAAGACCGGAAAAATGCAGGTTTGTTGTTTGTCTTGAGGACATTGTGGTTTCATTTCATGCATTCCATTGGTCAGTTTTGTGAAGTGTTTTATGCAATTAGACATGCTGATTTATTACATTCATATGGTTGGTAATGGTGGCAGCAAAGATTCTGCCTTTAGTAAAGAATCAACACTTGCTCCTATGTACCCTTCTGATATGCAATTCCATGGCAATGGAGGTATGTAGATCTTTGTACACTTTTTGCAATAAGAGAAATCTGAAATTTATGAATTGCTTTGTTCTTATTTGTTTAATTGCCAAACAAGGCCTTGCCAATTTTCCTAGATGCGCTTCTCCCGGCTTGGGGTGCTGTGTTGATATCAGTCACCCTCATACTTGCCTTTGGTGAGGTAATTTCTCGAGTGGCCCATCTCTGGTGGAGTATGTCTCATTGTTGATAGCTTGATCAATCAGTGATCTTCTGTTTTTGCTCCAACAGATTATCCCTCAGGCTGTGTGTTCTCGGTATGGACTGAGTGTGGGTGCAAGACTCTCAGTAGTGGTTCGGTTGCTTGTCATAATTGTCTTCCCTATATCGTACCCAATTAGTAAGGTATAATGCTTCTTTATATGATACGAAACTGCGTGTACACACAGGAAAATATGCCCCCATCGCTTGGTGCTAAACATGAGCAGTGTGTGAGAAAAACACTAGTGTTTTTGCATTTTAGTCTAAATCCAATGGGAACCTCTGTTGACAATGTTCAGCTGTTGGACTTGCTCCTTGGAAAAGGGCATTCAGCACTTTTACGACGAGCTGAGCTGAAGACACTGGTGGATATGCATGGAAATGAGGTTAGTTTCCAATATTCAAACTCGATGATTTGATCTGAAAATGAAGTTTCCCATCCTGATCTGGGAATAAATTAAATTTGAGCTTCGGAAAATTGTTCAAATTGCTGTTCTAATTCTCACTGTCAGGCAGGAAAAGGTGGAGAGTTGACACACGACGAAACTACCATTATCTCTGGAGCTTTGGATTTGACACAGAAGACTGCTAGAGATGCTATGACACTCATATCTGAAGTATTTTCCCTTGATCTGAACTTTAAACTCAACGAGTATGCTACTTCTTTCTCTGAAAACTATTTAACATCAATCTTTACTTCTTTAAATACTCACTGTTTGCCTTAACCCTCAGTGATATGATGAGTATAATACTGAACAAAGGGCATAGTCGTGTACCTGTCTATTCAGGAAGCCCCACAAATATTATTGGACTTATTCTGGTGAGTGTATGAGAAACTGTAGTTTTTTTTTTCATTTCTGCAGGTGGAGTAGCTACCTTGTTTCTCTACATACTCTTGCAGAATTCTTTGTAAAGGCAGGGATTTTTAGTATCTCTGTTGCTGAACTTACTTGTATCCACTATGTTTCCTGATCAAATAGTTGATTGGTCATGTAAATGTTACATTGTTTTGTATGGTTTTAGGTTAAGAATTTAATCAAATGCCGTCCTGAAGATGAAACCCCAATCAGAAATCTTACTATCAGGAGAATTCCTAGGTACAAAATCACCAGGTTGCATTTGGCTACTAATTACCAGCTGTAATTTTGTCTGCGCTCCTTATAATGTTAGCTGTAACAGGGTCCATGATGGTTTACCGCTATATGCTATACTGAATGAATTCCAAAATGGTCACAGCCACATGGCAGTTGTTGTAAAGAGTAAGAATGATTGTAATGATACATCAGAAAAAGCAAAACCCAAACATGACATGTTGAAGATGAATACCAATTCGAATTTAACAGAAAAAAAAGCAGCAGAAAAAGGTGACAGTATTTATTTTGGAGTGAACAATATCAAACATAGCCTTTCTTTTGTTTAAAAACAGTACGTAAAGAAAGCAAGAATATTTTCATTTATATTGTTCATTGTTTATAATGCAGGCGTTGATTATCAATATGGTCAGCATAAGCAATTGAATATCTCTAGATATGCTTCCTCTGTGGCTTCGAGCGACATGGAGACTCAAAGTCCAGCTGTACATGGAAAGATTACGAATGAAGTTTTAGAATCTTTTTCAGATTTAGAGGAAGAGATCGTTGGCATAATAACGATGGAAGATGTTTTGGAGCAACTGCTACAGGTTATTGTTGTAATTACGAAACTTCATTATGTGTGGCATGCTAAGAATTTACCTTCTATAACATAATGTACAAATGAATATAAGTTCCTATTTGTGTGTGGGAGATGAAACCTAATACTTATGTCTCGTTATTGCAGGAACCAATACTTGATGAAACTGATGAGTATGTTGATGTTCACAACAAGTGAGTAAACGACACTTGATTATTACTGATTATGGGAGGTCCAAAGGTACTAAAGTTCTGTCTTTCTCACTGTTTCTGTCTCTCTCTCTCCTGCAGAATTAGAATCAACATGCTTCCATCAATAAGATCGGCATCAGGATCTCCTGGAGCAGCATCAGCTTCACATATGAATTGGCGAAGTCCAGTGGCGTCTCCATTTTCTTCAAAACATCAGACTCCACTTTCTTCTTATCAGCACACTCCTGTATTGCGTTCACCAATTTCCCCATACATTCAGTCACCATTTGTAAGACCAATCCTTTCTTCTTCACCTGGGAAATCTGTACCAAATCCTGCTGCTGCTGGAACTGCAACAGGCCCTGTTCGCGGCTCTCCATCCTCACATCGAGTACGTCTTAAGTTTTCCATATGAGCAATGATTTATTTTAAGTTCAACAAACTCTGCTTATTGGTGATTTTTTAACGGAACAAATGCATAACTTCAAGTGGAAATTATGTGCAGGTCTCGAAGAAGTCCTATGAGAAGCTGAGGAAGCCGGGTGATTCATAAATTCCTATTCTTTTGATGAGATAATCTTCTGAAAGCATTTATATATATATATATATATATATATATATATATATGAAAGCCTCACTTGTGTGATATTGGAGTTCAGATTTTGAAATATTGCATTAGACTTTGTAATCGTTCATATTGATTCTAATATACCAAGTAGTTAATTTTGCAAGTAGCTCATTCCTCAGTCGTGCTATGATGTGTTTCTTGCTTGTAAACGATTCAAACTTGCAGCACCAAGGTAAGAGCAGAAAACTGCTTTCAATTGCCAGCAATGGGCCGGGCCTACCTTGCCTGTAAGCCGATTGGCTAGGATTGTCGTAGGTAGGGATGTCGATGGACCGAAGCGGGGGCGGGGTATAGTCTTCATCCCCGTACCCGTTTAAAAAATCTTCGTCCATCTCTGGTCTACTCTCGCTAACGGATATAATTTTCATCTCTATTCCCGTCTGCAGCTAAATTTATAATCTCCGTCCCCGCTTCTCCCGTACCCACCCAAGCCCAAGCATAAGTCCAAACCCAAGCTTAAGTTTAAGCTCAAGTTCAATTTCTAGTCAACATAATCCAAAATTCTAAAGATTAAAAATAGCTTAATTTTTTTTTTTTTTACCATGATCAAGAATAGAAAGAGGTAACAATATAAAAATTGTCACAAATGATAACTCTAACTAAAGATCTCTAAATCTAATAAACATCCTAATATTTTAACAAATCCAATGCTCCAACAGAACTAAAGAAACACATCAGGAGCAACATTGACAACAAAACAGCAACACCTCTAACATAATCACAACAACAAAATAGCTCGAGAAAAATAACACCAGAAGCAGCCCCAAAATAGAATCAGAAATAGTCTAGAAACAATCCCAAAAACACCACCAAAATGCACATTAAATCAACCCAGGGCTGCTGCTCTATTTCTTTTGTTTCTCTGTTTCCCTTCTACAATATACGGCAAAACCAAGGCTGTCAGATAGTCACACCCCTTTTAAATTAACCATCTTGTGTTCCCTCCAACCTTATTACTACAAATCATTGTATTGTCACACATCTTATTCTATCCTTTGACTTGTCTCTAAAATCTAAATCTAAAATTGGGTAAGGAGAATCAAAACTATTCTTCGATCTAAATTCTAAAAGCAACAATGCAATTGTCATATGAGACTGAAGCAACAGGAGCACAAAGGAGGTCCCAGTTAAAAAAATGTGGCAGTGGCTCGATGCATCAAAAGATAAATACTTCACTATGAACAAGAAATGGATCACAAGATGATATCAAGGAAGCACAAACATTGTAATTTTGAGTCACAAAACTAACCAACAGAGAATCAAAACAAAAGGGTTTTAATTGAGAGTTTATTTATACATATATAACGGATAACGGGTAACGAGGACGGAGCAGGGGTAAAAGTAAATTCATCTCCACTTTTATTCCCGCACGGGTTTATACAGGTATTTTCGTATACATCTATCATTCAATACGTACAGTCCATCTTCGATCCAAACAAGACGAAAATCTATTTTTTTTTTGGTCCACTGCCAACCCCTAGTCACAGGCTGGTTGTGATCAGTTAACCGTTCAACGACTGGACCGTGTTAGCCCGTCCAAAAAACTACGCCCACAGCTTATCCATCGGATGAGGTCGAACGGACACTTAGCAAGCTGGTCGTCGGGTCAGCTCTTATGGACATCTCATTACAAAAGACATGTAATGGGCATTTAGTGGGCTGATTTTAGTTGCAGGAAATGGGCCAGGCCTACCTGGCCTCTAAGCAACTGACCTAAGATGATCACAGGCGGTCCGTGATCAGCTGATTATTGACTGTTCAATGGGCTGGACCGTGCTAGCTCGCCCATGGCTTACCCAGTGGATGAATGTGAACGGGCATTTAGCGGGCTGGTCATCGGGCTGGCTCTCTTGGACATCTCCTCGAAAATGATTACCTCAAAATATTTTGGGTAAATTACACTTATCCCCTGAACTATCACTTTTTTTACTTTATAGACAACGTCAAAATATCTCGGGTAAATGAAACTTGTCCCCTAAACTATCACCCTTTTTTACTTTATTTCCTTAATTATTAAATTTCTCACATTACATCTTCAACTATGTCATTAATTTTACATTGCCCTAGTTATTAACGTCTGGTACATATTTAACGAAAAATTATTTTATTTTATCCTCCAAACTATGTAATTTTTTTTACATTACCCTGACACGTCAATGATTTATATCCAAAAAGATAATAAGTGTCTGCAATTTGGAGTAATGTAAAACAAAAGTGTTAAGGGTACGATGTGAAAATATGATAATTAAGAGAACAAAATAAAAAAAAAGAGTGATAATTCAAGGAGTGTAAGTACAATTTATCCAAATAAGATAAGAACAATATTACAAGGATCTTATTTGCGGACTTTATTTAAGATTTTTAATGATGTGGTTTCAATATAACAATTGAATTAGTTGTGAGTTTCAATGTTAAATAAAATTCACAATCAATTCAATAATTGTACATCGTTAACTCCTTGAATAAGATTCTCAAATAAGATGCAAATAATAGGTAGAATGAGACAAAGGCACCACCATTCATTTATATGGATAAGATTTCTAATTGAGAAGTACATGTATATTGGCATGAGAAACTTAGCCTAAGAAGCCATGAAAACTCTCATCTGCCTAGAACAAACGCATCTCTACATCACAAAACCTGTACCATTGAAAAAAAGGAACCCAAACTTCCATCCAACAACCATAAAAGATCCATATTTCTATACAAGAGCATGGAAGCTACATGCCGAAGCAAAAGGCTTTGGAGGGGCACCAGCTAATACAAAGAAGCAGCAGATTATACGTAAAGAAACTGTCGACAGAAAAAACTTTGGAAGGAACAATGGCGATGACGGTGACGATGAGAAGATACCAGATGTGGTGTTCGACAGAATGATTGTTAGAATCTTGATTTATGTGGGTGTCCCTTTGGTCACTGGACTTGCCTTTCTACAGATGTTTAACGTTGTGAAGGAACAACACTTGTGGGATGTGCCAGTTTGGTTGCCTTTCTTGACAACTTTTGTCACTTTTGGTGCTTCAACGCTTGGAATTGCTTATGGCACTCTGTCTACAAGTTGGGATCCAGAGAAAAAAGGTTCAGTTCTTGGGTTTGAAGAGGCTCAAGAAAATTGGGTTGAGATGTGGAGAGGAGAAGACGATGGAAGCAATGAGTGATGAGTGATGAACCATCTTGTGTACCTGAATCCTACTCTCTTTTCATGGACTCTGGAGCTTGTGTTATCAAGAAAAGTGCCTTCAATAATTTTAAGGTATTTAAGAAGAAAATTCTGCATGTACCAAGTTAATTGGAGACTATTAAGAGTATTAACACTTGTTGGGAGACAACTTATCACTTGATTTAAGAACACATGTATTTAGATTTACCCCCCCCCCCTCTCTCTCTCCTCCAATGGCAATTTCTATTGTGGCTACCATAATTTGCTCACTCAGTTCAGACCACACAACCTATTTGTCTCCATCTATGTCTTCTTCCCCGAAGCTTTCGTACTTTTCCACTATGCAATTTCCTCCACAGCTTGGCCATTTTAGCTTAATATTTTTTATGGAGTTGTGTTCGAATATTGACAACCTCTTAGAGTTAAGTCATAAGGGATTTAGATCTTAAAAATATTCTAGTTTCAGTGTAGATGATCTATCTTTGACCGAATCAAAGAAGGAATTAGTCGAACTAAGCGTAACCTGGCCAAGATACCTTGATCGAACGCGAAAAAAAATAAGATGATGTAACAGTTGTCCTATCCATTTGCTTTGCTCTGAATTCATTAAAAATCTTCGCCGCTGGTTTTACTTTTAAGCTCAGTATTACAGTTTTTGGTGAATTGATTTGTTCAAATTTTGTACTTAGTTCAAAATTGAATTATAATATAATTGTGGTTGTAATGTTTTAGGGGACTGGAGGAATGAATTTTATGTGGAAGGTGGTGCTTGCAATCTGAGTTAGTAAGTAAGAAGAAAGTTGAGGATTAAGGGATTAATTACAAAAACAACTTTCTTGCATTAATTTGACATATATATTCACTAATTAGGTCACGGTTTTAATCACAAAAGGGTTTAATTGTGCGAGTTAGGTTTATTTGGGCATAAATTCATATCCGTTTATGGTCTTTGATGAATTCAAATTTGAACATAGAAATACATATTAGTTCTAGAATTTAATTGTAATTCAAGATACTCATATTAGATCGGACATTAGGATCAAATTTTGATTTGACTTTCAAATTAGATTTCAATGTGGGTCGACCAAAATTCGATATGTTGACAAACTTCTCCTAGATAGTTTGGTGAAGAGAACCACCTTTTTTCATGCTGGATAACACTACGTTCATTTGAACCTCTGTAAACTTTATAGTAATGGGAGTTTCGTGCAATAAACAATCAAATACAATTTTTCTTATTTTTTCGTCACGAGTAAACTAATCCCGTGAATTGATCCAATTATAATTAATGAATTCCATTCGAATTCTTGATTTGGTGAGAAAGGATATCTAATCTCCCCTATAGTTAACGAGAGCATTTTAGCAAATTACTGCAATTAGCTCCCACAAATTTATATGAAGCAAAGACTGAGGGTTTGAAAACTGCTTTTCCTTTCTTTTGGTTCTTTGGCCAACAACCAAAGTTACTCTTGTCATTTAGACTCCAAAGAGTATTCAACCTAAATAATTCCTTGGATCAAGGAGAACAAATGACTGAAATTAAGGGTATGGGGACACTGAAAATGCCCCCAAAAGAAAAGATGCAGCGGAGACCTAGAAAATAAGATAATAAATGAATTTTACCTCCATTTTAGCATATTATATCACTAGAAGAAAAAAAAAATTATCGGCGAAAAAATTCATCGCTCAAAGTAAATAAAGTTTATCGTATGTTCGTCTTTAAAAGTTTTTTGGTGACCTACAAAAAAGTCGTCGCTGAAAGTAGAGCATTAGTGACCAAAACTTAAGCCGCAGAAAAATTCATTTGTTTGTCACCAAAACACTTTGTCACTGAACTAGTTTCGATTGTGGTTGCCAAGGATCAAAATATCGTTTCGAAACGGTCAATACATCTGAAATGTTTCTGTTTCAAAGAAGACCGAAACGAATCAATGATAAAATCGAGATTCTAATATTTTGACGTGTTCCATAATTTTTCAAAATGTTTTATTATATTTCAATGCATTTACACAATTATTTTGGAATGTTTCAATGTATTTCAAGATATTTTGATATATTTTGATTAATATTTTGAAAAAATAATTTTTAAATTTTATATTTTTTTCATTCTGTTTTCGAATTGGATCGAAACGTTTCCGAAACATATCGAAATATTTCTATTTCTTAGGTGACCGAAATAATGCACCGAAATAAAATTTTGATCCTTGGTGGTCACATTCTCTTTTTTGGGTGATGACATAATGTTCGCCACTAAAAATTAAGATACCTCTTTTGCGACCAGCTAACTTTTGTTGCCAAGCAAATGAATACTTTCTCCCATAAATGGTAGGTGACAAAATCGATTAGCTGCCGTAAAATAAAGAGACTTTTAGCGACCAAAAGCTCATTGCCAAACATAATCTTTGTTAACTGTTGGATTTTTTTTTTTATTACGTTTGTCTCTATAATAATTCAAAATACATTCATCGAACTGTTTCAATCATTAAAGATCATAAAAAAGTATATAATCCCTTAAAATTAAAAAAATCATAATTTCAAAACATTCATACAAGAACTCATACGAAAATATCTATATAAAATCTCATACAAATATCCATACCAAAACATCCTTATAATTAAAAACCCATAGTACAAATTGACATATCCAAACGCCCCAATATCTTGATATCATAAGAATTTGAACTACATAGATTACAAAGGAACAGATTGTATCACCAAAACCAACTCCAAGTAATTCATCATCCATCTGTATCACACACAATAAAAGTGCATTACTCAAAAATTCATTACTAGAATAAATAGCATTTATAAAAATATACATCACTACAATTTAAATATTGTAATAATTTGTGGTATTTTTTACTTATATCTACCAAGCCTAAATTCTAGTGTTTGTTTCTTCTTCTTCTTCTTCTTTTTGTTTTTTTGGGTTTAACGGTCAAAGATGTTTGGATCAACTTATGCGTATTTCAACTAATTCCCTCCCCAGTCCGATCAAAGACAAACAATCTACACTATGTCCGAGCAAAGTTTTCAAAGTGGTGTTGTGGCATATGGAGTGATGTGGTCTCGTTTGAAGACCGAGTGCTTAAGTATATGTCAACAGACTAAATTAAGCACATGCTTAAAATTGAAAGTGTTTTACCAAGATTAAGTTGAATCGCTAGTCTCCCCATTGCCCTCGCCATGATGCATCTTTGTTATGTGCTACATCATCATTTGCTCGAGTTTTGCAGGTGTCTATGGGTCGAGTTGGCCCACAGGTCTCATTACTTGACCCGAAAAATAAGCCTAAAGTCCGATAGGCCTGATAGTTAGCTCGCTCGAGCCAAGTCCAATATTTTTCAAGAACAATCCATTTTCTTTCCTAATCATGAGTAACTGGTGATTTACAGGGGCAATGCTTTGTAAGTCACTGGCTGTTGGTGAAGGGGTGAAATTATCTTCTTCCTCTTCATTCCTATGACTGGTTTGTGGAACACTCTGATGTGGAGTGTAGCACGGTCTACTAATCTGTGGTGCGGAATTATTAATTTCTTTTAACTTAAATTTTCTTTCTATTTCTTATGTTAATTCTTTATCTCTTTTGGAGATATTAGAATAAACACCAAATTTCCTACCTTAATTAATTTGGATAGGTTTACTAAATGACCTGTTGGATCTGGCAGAATCAAAGGAGATTCTTACTAATCTATCAGATAATTGTTGGATGTTTTCAAGGTTAGCTGCAGTGTTTTCACTATCCTTATTATAATTTTCATTTTCAACTGTCCATGATTCTGAAAGTTGAACATTCTTCCATTCAAGTTTCTTTGGGACTTGAATGTTAGAATCACTAGTACTGGCTTGAATAAGCATAGTCTTATCTTTAGGATGCTTTTTTAATGCATGTATATTCAGGTTTGTGGTCATGCACTTGTAGTAAATCCTATAGATAAGTACTAGGGATTGAGTCTCTTTTACCAATTTAGTGATTTGGCCAGAGAGTTTTATCCCTAAGGTTAAAGCCATTGGTGTGTCTTTACAACTAAGGCTTAGGGTAAAGTCTGGAAAGCAGTTAAAATAAACTGGTTCCGTTATGGAGGCCAGTCTCTATTATTCCTAAAATGCTTGGTTCATATTCCAAAAACCTAGCATCTCTTAGGGTTAATAGAGCTACTANTGCCCTCGCCATGATGCATCTTTGTTATGTGCTACATCATCATTTGCTCGAGTTTTGCAGGTGTCTATGGGTCGAGTTGGCCCACAGGTCTCATTACTTGACCCGAAAAATAAGCCTAAAGTCCGATAGGCCTGATAGTTAGCTCGCTCGAGCCAAGTCCAATATTTTTCAAGAACAATCCATTTTCTTTCCTAATCATGAGTAACTGGTGATTTACAGGGGCAATGCTTTGTAAGTCACTGGCTGTTGGTGAAGGGGTGAAATTATCTTCTTCCTCTTCATTCCTATGACTGGTTTGTGGAACACTCTGATGTGGAGTGTAGCACGGTCTACTAATCTGTGGTGCGGAATTATTAATTTCTTTTAACTTAAATTTTCTTTCTATTTCTTATGTTAATTCTTTATCTCTTTTGGAGATATTAGAATAAACACCAAATTTCCTACCTTAATTAATTTGGATAGGTTTACTAAATGACCTGTTGGATCTGGCAGAATCAAAGGAGATTCTTACTAATCTATCAGATAATTGTTGGATGTTTTCAAGGTTAGCTGCAGTGTTTTCACTATCCTTATTATAATTTTCATTTTCAACTGTCCATGATTCTGAAAGTTGAACATTCTTCCATTCAAGTTTCTTTGGGACTTGAATGTTAGAATCACTAGTACTGGCTTGAATAAGCATAGTCTTATCTTTAGGATGCTTTTTTAATGCATGTATATTCAGGTTTGTGGTCATGCACTTGTAGTAAATCCTATAGATAAGTACTAGGGATTGAGTCTCTTTTACCAATTTAGTGATTTGGCCAGAGAGTTTTATCCCTAAGGTTAAAGCCATT